CCTAATTGCGATGGCCTCCAGCCTGGAAGCAATGGCCTCCACCTACTAGCTATGGCCTCCAACCTAATTACGATGGCCTCCAGCCTGGAAGCAATGGCCTCCAACCTAGAAGGGGAATGAGGGAATCAGCCCACCATCGATTCCTTTGGGATCCTTTGGGATTCCTTTGTGATTCCTTTCTACTAGTACCACGTAGTCAGGAGTTTTGGAACAAAACATCATGTTGATGTTCTGCCGTAGTCAGGGTGTGCATCTCCAACATTAGATCAACCCCCTGGGACCCCTCTTGGGCCAGGAGTCCTTCTCACGAACCTGGCAATCGGAACAGTGCGGCCGGCGGGCCGGGGCCTGTGTAATCTGCCGGCTTTCGTGATTCCCACGAAGCAACCTGGGCAAACCGCACATGGCCACTTCGAAATAGGAGGGGCGCTCTCCCGCTGCTTCGCAATGGAGTGACCAGAGTGACCAGCTCCCAATGGAGTTCACAGAGTTCGCAGTTGTTCATAGCCTTGAGATGATCGAACCACTTGGAAGATTCCTAAGATGATCTTCAATTGCTGAATCTTCCGTTTGCTTACGGCAGCAGATGTGCCACATTCATTGATTGGCTCGTTCATTGATTCGGGCGACAAACCAGTTCACAGATCAAACCGTCTAGGACGTAGGATACTTTGGAACCCACCAAGTGACGATCACAATGCGCGGTTGCGTCGCATGTCTACTACAACCGAGAAAAATAGAATATGAAGCAATCCCAAAGCGTGAGCATTCCCATTGTTTGCCATGTGGTTGCATTTTTCCATATTCTATCTACTCCATGATGACGACTATAGATCAAAATCTTCAAGATTCAAGGGGTGCTCTTGAACTCCGTAGGGGTGATTTCCAGGATGGATCAGACTTGAAGAGAGCAATCCTGCACAAAGTTCTTTTTTGGATCTCTGATGACCTTGTTTGGTGCATCTGATTGAGGATGTCTTCTGTCAACAGTCATCACACTGTTTTCAAGTGTATTTGCATGTATTTGCACCACAGTGATTGGTGAAAGAAAACTCGTGTGTCATGCCGCATGCTATATTCTGGTCTTCCCAGATTTCCCAAACTAAGATAACTAAAGAGAGACCTCGTCTTCTGCCTCGTCGATGTTCTCGGCGTGATCCGTTCCCACTGGGCCTCCCAACGTGATCCGTTCCGGATGACTGAGCTTCAGGAGCGCGAGCAACCTGCGCTTCTGCGCTTGAAGCGCGTGGACGGCCCACCCCCTCGGCCGGAGTATCCGGTGGAGTGTCGGAGTATCCTGGGGAATGACTACTCTAAGGGATCTGACAGGACAGGACACCCACCCCTTCGGAGAGTCTAGATAGGCAAAAGTGTTCACCTTCACCATGAGAAGAACACTATTTCCTCATGAATCCTCATTGAGAGCCCTGCTACCCACTTTCGGCCCACCAGTTCCAGCGCATCAAACGGCTTCATGTTCGCACGGTGAACCATCGATTGAGTGAGGCCTGTCACTCGTCACTGATCCTTTTGGATGAGGCCTCCCACAGCACCGCCACGAAGCCTCACAGCCGGCACACCGAAAAGACCTCTGTGCCGCACACGCACTGCCGCCCTGTCACCAAACCCAGGCAGCGGAACCACCGGCGAAGCCTCCCCGCGCGCGCGGAGCACCGAGCACCGAGCACCGAACGAGGCGAAGCCCGGTGAACGCGGTCGACGCGGGTGGCGACGCTCACATGATTGTCTCCACGGAGTATGGCCCACGGTCCACGTAGTCGCCCAAGAAGAGATAGTTGGTGTGCGGGACCTGGGCCCCGTGAGAGTCGAGGAAGCGAGCAAACAAACCGGTCCGAAAACATCCCTTAAAGTATTTGCCCGAAACATCCCGTTAAACAGCTATTGACTGCAACGCATCTTCTTTTAGCTCGATCCTTCTCTTTTTGCACCACCCGAACGGCTGACTCCGAACGCCGCGCTGGGCTGCGTTCGGTGAATCCGATCCGCGGCAACGCATTTGGCGCCACGCATCGCTTCCTCCTCAATTTGCTGAGTGGGTCAAACTCACTCATGGTAGATTGAGTCTAATGGGGATTGGTAGAGCCCGTTAGTCAATTGGGGATTGAGTCAAACTCACCATTTGGAGAGCCCGTTTCATGGATTGATCTCAGAGTCTCCCGTAGGTCTGTTCTGTTCATGTTCAGTGGTCAACCAGGGTAGTCCCGGTGGCATGACCCACAGACGTCGAAGCTACACGACGTCGTCGACATATCCAGATCTGGACACAGGCTCGCCGTCACCGGTGTGGTTTCGAGAACGTTCGATGTCAGTGATGTCCCCGTTCGATGAAATCGACGAAACATGCCACATTCCCTAGCCGTAACCGTTAGACCATTAAAGGTTGACGTTGTAGTCCAAAATCCGTAAAACCAGGGGTCTTCGGTCAAACGCATGAAATATCCTATAGGTCCTATAGGCTGTAACATCAATAGATTATAATTATATATTCATTAAATCCATGATGCGTGTTCAAATCCCAAATCCATTGACTTCAGTTCCTGCCCAGCTCCACGTCTCGCGCTCGTCTCTCGGTCCATCTGCGCGTCTCGGTCGGCTTGTGCCCCGAACGGGACCACCGATGCGGAAGAGCTCCAGCAGATCGAAGACCTGCGAAGACGACCGGGCCCAACGTCATGCGAGTTCGCCACCGCCACCGTCTTGACACGGCGTTCAAGAGCTAGCGGTCACCGGTGATCCTGGAAGGAAAAAAAGGAAGGTTGGAGCGATGACATGGCCATGCTTCACCGGCGCAAATGCTTAAAGCCTGTCAGCCATCCCGGAGTCAGGCGTTCTCCAGCGCTGCGGCGGTGCCTGGCCATGGACGTCGCCCACCACCGTCACCGGTGCTGGGACCGCCTTGACGTTACTCTCCTTCACCAGCACCAGCTGCAGGCGCTGGCAGGCGGCAACCAACGGTGGGCATTTACCACCAACCCATTGGGTTTCGTAGTTCTCAAAATGAACTTTGCCGTAAACCTAAAAGTTAAAAGCCACACAAAGTGGAACTTTCACTCAGCATGCTGGTTTGCATACAGCCCCATGCCTGTCCTGAAGCACATGATTGAGAAGAAACCACCGGTAAACCACAACTGACACCCCAAAAAAGAACACAGATTCACATCTTTTGGGTGGCCTCCTGATTGACCCAGCACGATTGAAAAATCGAAACGCCAGGAAAAGACAGCAACAGGTTATGTGCTTTTACTTGCTCAACTCGCCAAACAAGCAAACCGCCCTGTATCTAGTCAGGTTCCAAGCTGCACACACTTAAACCGCGGCCCGCGGACTGGCAGAACACCACACACCTAGGACAGGTGCACCGCACAAAGGACCGTGTCTCGCACGTCGCACGTGTGCCGCACGTGTATGATAGCGGCGCCAAGCTTTGGGGCCTCACAAAGCGCTTGGGTGGTGCGAACGTCCAGCAGCTGGCAGTTCAAGGCCTCCGACCACTGGACGCACCACTGGTGCGTGCGAGGGAGTGGGAGGGTCGACATGCAGAATGCCAAGGGGAGGGACTCTGAAAGCAGTACTTGTGGAAGTCTCCAAGACTTTTTTAAGAACTGCTCCGACTCGGTGTCCCGGAGAGGAACTTAAAATATAGCCATTTATAGACGTCTACAGAGGGAAAAAGACTTGGAAAAAAAGACACACACCTAAGCCCTGTGTGTGACCTTCGCCCCTGTGGCTCCTGGCAATCGCAAGATCCGTTCCTGACCATCACCAGGTCCGGGGATGCCAAAGCTCCAATGAAAGGTTCCTCCCACCGGTACCTTCATCTTGCTGCACCATGTATACAGTACTCAGAGCCCAAAGATTATATGTTTCCTCACTGAAGTAAAGGAAGTTCCTCTTGTCTTGGGATCACCTAAAGACCATAATAAAGCATTGTCTTGGACTTCCTCACAATAGTGATCACTTGCAGTCCGTGGTGGCCCCCGGTCACCTTCTCCGTTGCAGCTTCCACCTTGAATTCCGAACGGGGGCCGTCGGGTTCGAAGAGCTCAGAAGATGCCCCCGTAAGCCATGGGATTCCAGCATCACGAAGAGCCATGATGACCATCCTAGACCCATGGATTGACTCGAAAAAGAGCAGCTTGTGAGAGGGTAGGGAGGAGTATGGTTTGTATTCCAGCAAGTTCGTTGGGGTTCATGCTATTCCGGAAGACTGGCAAGCTTTGGAAAATTGATGAAAAGGCTCTTGAGCATACTTCCCAAGGCATCCTCGGCATGGACCATGTTGCTTCACCAGTCGAAACATGGTAGATGAACACGGTCGCAGATGTCGGCCATGGCGAAGCCCATGTGACCAGCACTTGCCATAGGCTTTTTGCTGCGCAACTCGAAGCCCTAGAGAGCTACTTATTTCTACTATATGGTTGTGAGGACCTCCCCTAAGGGAAATAGACCAAAAACCATTGGCCACGGGGTTCTCCCTGTTAAGATACACACCCACAAAAAGCACTGCTGCTGGAGTTCAACCATCACTGGGAGCGAGAGCCTTTTGGAATAAAACAGTACGGACCTCAGATAATGCCCAAACTAACGCTGCTAGGAGCAAAGGTCATCGCTACGTTCGGGGCTCCTGGCCATACTACTAGGAACAAGAAGCTATTAGAAACCAGAAATACATGAAATTAGAAGTAATTAGAATTACTCAGTACTCGCTCGGTCGGACCAGGAAGTTTGCTCCGAAAGCGGCCTGGATTTATGAGAGTTACTGTAACCGACTGGACCAGGGTCGACCGGAACGGATCGAAAACTACTCGCCCAATGGGTGGCGAGTTCAGAAGATCTCTGTGGATGGCTGCGAAGCTGTTTGCAACCACGAACCCCAAGAATCATCAAGAATAGATAGTACTTCTGCGCCGGCGCTTCTCTAAAGACTCCCAAAGACTTGATTGATCGAAAGTCGAAACTCTATCTCATGCTATATCTACTTGCGAACCAGCTTGCTGTCACCACTTCAGGCCACTAACCAACCCCCCCCCCAAGCGAACCCACACGTCTTGCCCTCTGAGCCCTCTCACGTCGAAAGGCATGTCCGAGCTGCGTCCTCACCGTCCAACCTCGGTGCAGCCGGTGAGCGCTACAAGTGAGCGTCCTTTCTCGCTCCGTTCGTACGGCCAGGAGCCCCGTTCGTAGCGAACCTTGCTCTTCGTAGCGATGCCAGGAGCCCGGTTTGTAGCGTCCGATCGCTCCTACAAGTGCGAAGTTGAGAGGTCGCATGAACTCAGCTGCTTGTTCCGATCTCCCATGGTTCACTTGGTACTCAAGGTCGAGAGTTTTTAGAGCGATCGGGTAGTCGGGTATGGCTTAAAAGAGAGCGAGCGATAGCCTAAAGCTTCCTATGGACTTCTGTGGACTCCTGACTGCCAGGCCAGGTCATACCGGCCGTAGCCTGTAGGCTTGATCCCCGATGGCCGAATTCAAGTCCCCTCATGTCCTTCGGGAACTTCCAATGGCTGGATCCAAAAAGCGACCACTAGGTCATATGCCATCTACTCTGAAAAAGAAGAACTTCCATCTACACCAGAAACACCGCGCGTGGCACAGGTGTTTGTTGTGGCACTCGAGATGACGCGCCGACCATGTGCCTTTACACATCGTTCTCGGTGTGCCAAGGCCTAAGCTCCACGCCCCATCTGCCACGCGAGCAAGGCAAAGCGAGGAACGACGCCGGCACAAACCAATGTGCACAAACCCTCGGACGGGACGACTTGTCGTCCCAGGCAAGGAGTTGACTGTTGGCTATTGGGTTCTGGAATGTTCTGGACCTTTGTAGTCAAAAACAGGAAACAGGTGCGGTTTGTTGGTTTGCTTGGTTTGCGCTTGGTCCAAAGTGGGTTTGCAAACCATATTGTTACTGTTGCCCAATGCCAGGGAATTTGGGCTTCTCTTGCCGCCCTCCCAGCTGCTGTCACAAGCGTTGAGTCAGCGATTTTCTGCTACCATACGGTATCATACGAGCATCCATGTCATCATGCAGTCTCGTTCGTCTCTTGGCTTTGTTGGAGTCTTGGGCGATCGGAGGACGTCTCGGGCATTTGGTGGGGGGGTCTGCATCGCCCAAATGCCTCGTGCACAAAACATGAAGCGATGTCCTCACTTGAGCCCAAATCCCATCGAATCAGAGGGTTTTTGGTACAGATCCAAACACACGAGGATCCACAGCCCACGGAAGGCACAGCCCACACTTTCAGTGGAACATGATGAGCGGGTAGGGCTCGAGAACATTAGAAGGACATCCAATTCCGTGTGCCAAACACCTCGCTCACCGGGTGGCTAAGGGCAAAGACTCAAAGGTCTACAGGTCCCGGTCGCAGCCCATTGACCCACTCCTGCTGGACTTATGAGAAGGAGGCCCGATCTACCACAGGTGTTTGTGTGGGCCACTCGAAGCGCTGCGTTTTGTGCAAAAAACTGCGTTGATGTCACGCAAGCAAAACTCCACCAAAACACACTGTCTGCCACTATCTGGCTAGATAACGGAATCCAAAAACAATAGTTGGTGCAGGCCGGGCTGCTCTAAGAGAGGTGGCTGACCACTGGGAACTCTGTTGATTTTCACCATAGAAAATTAGGCTGTTTTCCCCGCTTGAGTCCTCTTGCGTGACGAAGGGGGCGAGTCGCAAGAGCCGAAGGGGGCGCTGATCATCGACCGAAAGAGCCGAAGTGAAACAAACCCTTTTGTCGTAAAAGCACCATGAAGAAATGAGGTACTGTAAATAGGCCCTACCCAAGGCCCAAGGTCCCGAAAATCGGATCAAATCGGACCGGACATGAAATGAATGAAATGAAATGATTGAAGAGTTTTTTTTAAATGCTACCTCCTGGGCTGTTTGCTGTGTGCCACCTAGATTCAACGTGATTCCCGGGAGAAAAGGGCCCTGTCATCGTCACCCGTCGACCTGGACCCGGCCCAGGAGCCCCGAGTTCGTGGCGTCCGATCGCTCCCTTCGGTCGGCGATGCCGTTACTAGTAGCGTTCGTTGCTCCGTTCGAAGGAAATGCGGGCTCTCCGATTTTCATACATCACGGCCGCTCAGTGACACATCTGGAGACTGTGAAACGTCGAGGAAACTCCTATTGGAGGAAGCTCAAGACGTCGTTGGGTGCAAAACACGAGACTCAAAGAGAAGTCGGGATGAGACGTCGGATGCACGGTTTCGTGAAAACGAAGTCTGTCTTCAACCTCTTCACTGCTATTGGAAAAGTGGTTCCTTGGCTCCTGTTTGCCCATGGGACTCTGGCCTGGTGAGAATGTGAGGGAGACCTCCTTTTGCATCTCCTAACCAGCGCGACAGCTCCTCCTCACTAGCAACAGCCTTCGTTCCGACTCTTCCGCAATTCCCCGTGCTTCCCTATGCTGAAGCCCCACTGAAGAGACTCAGCTCATATATAGAGTGTGAAAACTCAAGAAAACATAGTGAAATGATAAAGTCATGAAATCTGACATAAGGGGGCATATGATCTCAGCAAGGCATATGATCACGACATAAGGAAGCACCGGGGGCAGCTTCAGCTACAAGACTTCATTGCCTTCAGGTCAAAGTCTGCAATGGTGCGGTGGTGTTAAACAGCCAAAATCAACAACTCAAACAGATCCTCCCAGAAAACAGATCCCAGCCGAGCCTTGTGTACTAGAATGAGAGACATTCCAACCAAATGGGTTGTGGTCTGCTTCTCCTCCTGCAAGGGGTCTTTGGAGGGCTCAATTCACAATAACTCGGTACATAAGGGTTGTTCCAGACCTCCCCCCCAGTTACACCACCCCTCTTATGACCAGGGGCCCAAAATATCGTTTGTGGGATGCGCACTGATGTTTTCGGTGACGGTTGTATCTCCAGAAGCTTTCCTGGACAAATGGTTCCGTTGTTGCCCATGTGTTTCCCCCTTCAAGTCACTGACCTTCCGACCCTCCGGTGGTCTGAAGGACCACTGGATCGAACCCGAACCCGACCCATGAAGAACCATCCCCTCCACTCCGGCACCAATTCTGCGAAGCTTCACGGGATGATAGAAAGCTTCAAAGGTTACGATGGACTATTTTCTCACCACTACCCCAGCTCCTAAGATAGTAACCACCTAGGAATTGGGAATGAATCTTCCGAAACCTATCGCTATGGGTAAACTTTGATCTGCAACTGCAGCTCTTTGATCCCTTCGTGCGGCACTCTCGGGATCCATCGCTTCCGATCGATCGGCTGCGGCCGTTTTTCGGGGCTTGGCCTCTGGTCCATTGGCGGAACCTCTGGGCTTTGTAGAACATCCCAGACCTTGAAAAGCCAATTCTCCTCAAAAATGAGCGTGAGGAATTCCACTCACACCGTGTTGCTCTGTTAAAGGATGAGCATCAAAGGTGTTCATTCTATTTCATCTATACCTGGATCCCCAAAGTTCCCAAGTGGAACCCAATAGAAAATATCCTTCTATGAGAGATGATCAGGAAGGGGATTTGAATTTTGGAGGCGTGAGGAATGGAAAAAAAGATCTCAAAAAGGTTTCATGTGGCAATCTGGAGGCCAAAAAAAAGTTGCATCAAACATCCAGAGGTCTCCACAGGCTATTTACAATGTTCTTCCTCCGTGTGTGTGTGTGCCCTCCTTGAAGATGGTCTGTGTTCAAACACACAGCAACAGCTTGCGGGGCAACCCAAAAATAAAGTATAATATGAATGTATATACATATATCAGTACAAGTCTGTCGAAGCCGAGACCATGAGACCAACGGTTTGTGTGATCCTTCCTTTGGAAGGCAAATAAACTCCATCCGTCAATCTGTCTCATGGAGAGATACACAGCCATGCACGCACGAGTGCACGTTGATACATGGGCGTCTAATTCACATCCCTTTTGTAGGCAATTCTCTGCATGCTCGCGAGGGTCTGGGACACAGGAAGCACGGAGTTTGATCCAAAACAGTGTCTTCGCATCTAACAAAACCATTTGAATCCATTTGATATGAACATATGTGAACCAAACTGAGCCAGCCAATTGGCCTGTCACTTGGAGCTGAAAACCTACAGCATTTAATCAGACTGGTCCAGAAACACTTCAAGAGAGCAGCAACTCTCCATGAAACAGCATGCCAGAAGAAAAAACAGCTATATATACCCTTTGCGACGAATTTGTTCGCTGCTTCTTTCTTCGGTGTGACAGCGATTCATCTCGCGTCGAGATTATTGGTGGATGTTGCCTTGACTCGTGGACGAAGTCAAACACGTCATGAGTGCCCTTGACAAACCGGGTGACAACATCAGTATTCACGCTGCATCTCAACATCTCGTCTCCGTCTCCGTCTTTCTTCAGGCATCAGTTCAGAAGCATGAACCGTTCGCATGAGGCCTCGTCCATCTGCAAGGAGGTCCACCCATTCCAAAACGAAACCCCCGGACTTCACCAGTGCCACCTTCATCCCTAGATGATGGGCACCTGGCTGGAGGCATGGCTGCACTCATTCGAGAAAAACATCAACAGTGTCAGAAACAGTATGTGTATAATATAATATATATAATATATGGGCAGGCAACTACCCCATCCAGGTTCCTACGATAGCAACCCGGGTAGGTCCTGGGAGGTGCAACTCATTCGATTGTGGGGCACCCCTACTGCTATGTCGTTAGGATTGCGCTGTTGAGCACCTTTTCTGTGATGCCATTCGGCTAAACTGGGCTGTGCACAGGGATCCCGCTTCCAATTGTTCTTGTATACGGTATCTCTGGAGCCCAGGGCTTTCGTGCAGGATGTGTCTATTAGTACAAGTATGACCAGCACTTGGGGGTGGCCAGCGGATTCTGGTCATGAAAATCTCCAAACCCCGGAGGCCCGCCCAAACGCCCACGAGTTCGGCGCCATGCTGGTTAAGCACCATGAATAGGTCGCCAGGAAAGATGAGTCAGTCAACAATTCCATTCTTGGTTTTCTTGGCCTTCCGTTTCCTGAAGATCTCTCAGAATTCCTCAGTTTTTTTGTAGCCTCTGGAAAACTCGCACAAACTCGCCCCAGTTTTCCTCCTGCCCTATAGCCGCGACCGGTAGCTCCAACCTTGCAGTCACGAGATGGTACAGTTGCAGCCCTTTTGTGCACGATCTCCCCAAAGGTCATTGACCTCATGAACCTGCGAGGTCAATCTGTTTGTTCGGACGACGCCGATGCGGAGCGAGAGCAGGCAGGGCCGAAAGGTCCGAGGTTTGAGGCCCCCGTTCCAGGCGTTCCAAAAGAAGAGGAGGATTGAGGATCGAGCAAGACATGTCTGAGGTTTAACGTTTAACGGGGTCGTTCTTTCCTGCATATCTGATTTGTCTTCATGGCCAATCAAATGTGATCTGACTTGAAATTCACAAGTTCTGACTTCTCTTCTGCCCAGCGAACGAACAGCGGGTGGTCGCCAGCTGCTCGGAAGAGAGCGAAACATCCCGTCTTTGGTTGCGACGGTGCGACCGGTGCGTTTGGTGAGTTTGGTGGGGGGAGAAGGGCCTGGCCACCGATCCTGAGGCGGTTTCACCGCAGCAAAACCGGTTGAAAGGTCCGTTTCTGGGAAAGAGTCTGGAAGAGACTGTTGGTTCGAACAACAAGCGCCAGAGGTGCTTCTATGGCGCCAAGCACTGGCGCGGAAGGAGAAAGCTTGAGCTTGAACACTTGGCCACTGACGTCGCTTGTCGACTCACCGCAACGCAACAAAAACGGGAATTTATTGGACCTTTGAGTATTGTCCACGGATCCAAAACATAATTTCTTGACCAAAAAGACCCTGGGCTTCTTAGAAACTCATCATGAAACCCATGGGCATCGTGTTCAACGGCGTGTTCCACGGCACCCGCGGCGGCTTTTGCGTTGCTCTGAGAGCCTTTTTTTCCCGCTGGGAGAGCACTCGCTTGCTGCGTACAGCTTGGGAGCAGAGCCGGCAGAGCCAGCAGAGCCAGCAGCTAGGCCAGCTCAGCTGCACCAAAGGAGGAGAGCTCTAGGAGATGGCTGGGTCCCTCGCAGGTGCCCTTTTGGCCGAAAAAAGTAACAAATGAAAAAAACAAACAAGATCCTCCCGACATGCTTGTGTTGAGATGTTGATCGACCCGTCCCCACAGAAATTGAATGGCATGGGTCGTGATCTCAAGGATCGTGAACATTCCTTAGCCTTAGGAGATCCCTCAATACATGTTTTACATTCCCACCCAAAGTGCTTTTCGGCTCGTTCCGTGCATCCCCGCGACCTGAATGAAATATCTTCATCGTGAAGATAGTACGTCTCGCGGGTCAGGTCACTGCGTGAGGGGCCACTGGTTTATTACAGATCAAACACTCGGTACGGGAGATCTGCGATAGATGTTTTTCAAGAACTGAGGATGCCAGACTCATCCGAGAACATGGTGATCCCAACCTTTATAAGGATCCGTGAAATGAGTCCTTATTATGACCTGTCAGCTTATCAGCCAAAACAAGCCAAGCTTGCTACAGCTGGTTCGCCTAGTAGGAAAGAATTCAGTGACACACTGAACTAGTTGGTCCATTGGTGGATCAGAAAATGACAAACATGCGGTTTGAACATGTTTCAGGAACTCCACTTTCCCCACCCGCCAGGTTTAGGTGTGTGTTCGCTGTTTTCTGTGCGAAACTTGGAACAGATTTTTGCAACCATCAGATCAGCACTTTTGCCGTGGTCCTTTTGGAGTTTCTACATGTCCCAGTTTGGCCCTCTGATCCAGAAAAAGATCCGCCGGTTCGATTCCCTGGTGACCTAGTAGCGTCCACTAAAAGCTCCGTTCGGTTCGCGATCCTTGCTCCGTTCGTAGTACGGCCAGGAGCCCCGTTCGGTTAGCGTCCGATCGCTCCGTTCGAGTCGCGATGCCCTTTGTTCCTAGTAATTAGCATCCTTTTGGTCCCCTTTTGGAGCGCACATTGAGGTCTGAAAGCCACTCCCGGTTCGATTCGGCAGGACTTGAACTCTCGTTGGGTCGACCCAAAGGCTTCTCTGCTCCTTTGCTCTCTGACACGAATTCGCGGCCAGTCTATACCAAGCCGAAGCACGGCGGACTCTCGAGCCTCTAGGCCGGCTCACTCGCTCCTCTGGTGGCGCGACCCAATAGATGCTGGCAATCCAAGGTGTTTAGCTGGTGCAATGGCATTGTTTCTAACAGATTGAGCTTAAATCCATCGAGGATTCAGCAGGCGAAGGCCTCACAGACCGGTAGTTATCTTGAGGACATTTTGAGCGGCTGAGTGGCTTCTGGGGACCCCTGAGATCATTTCTATGTCGAAGTAACCGCTGAAGGTTTGTAAGACCGTGAGGGGAGTGCTCTTCAGTTCAAACCTTCCTTTTTCAAAGCCTGCTCCCCGAACGGTGGTGCACAGGGTACCCGGGGCGCCGTTTCAGAATTGGCTAGCGGCTATGCCCATCCCACCAAGCCAAGGCCCACTCTGCCCCTCGACTTCGGAATCCAAAAGGGATGGTCTCTTCGTCGGCATCGCGACTCGAGCGGAACAAGCGGCATGAAGCGGATCGAACGTATCTCCTGGCCTTACTACGAACGGAGCAAGGTTCGCGAACCTGTCGTAGCAATGGTTGCTTGACATGTTCTTTCGGCTCAGTCGTCTCAGTCGCTCTTCGGCTTCCCCTCCCAGGGGTCCATGCAGAGCCCTACAACCGGCGGCTGACCGTGCAAAAGAAGGGCCCCTTGACACGGCCCGAAACGGATGGGCAGTGCTTCCCGGCCGAGGAAAACCACAAGGGTCAAGTTTCCGTGAACTTGCCCGGCTTTCAAGGATGCCATCAATCCAAGACAGTGAGAAACATGGGACTCACTCCGTTGCATGATTTAAAAAATGAACAAAGTGTCACCTGCTGATGAATCCAAAGACTGCAGTTGAAACATGATTCATACAGTTGCCTTTGGTTCATAAAGAATCATGAAAAAGCATTGGGAGCGAGTTTGACGGGCTCTTTTTAGCCTCTGCAAATCTAGAAATGTGCAGCTGGTCCGATTGATATTAAATCTATGACTCTTGACCCTAGTCCTCTCTGTCTGGGAAAGATCTTTTGTTGGGTCAAAGATCATCAAAGATCTGCTTGGGAATGGTATCCTGGCAAAACTCAGTCCGCATTGATTTGAGCCAATGGGATCCCTGGCGGCTTAGCCAGGATCCTACTTCAAGTGCTTGGTGAAGCCACTCCACAGTGATGTCATGTGATGTCTTTCAGGTTGGTGTACCCCCTACCAAATACCCCTGGAAAAGTGTTCGTGATTGTGGAAATATCCCTTCTCTAGACCTTTAGGGACCTTGACTTTGACCGACTCAAAAACAAGAGCAAAAAACTGCTCAGTCCATCTGCTTGGTTTAGAAGGTCAGATCAAGGGATTCGCAAAGCTTGGTACTGTCAACCCGCCATCGGCGTTCATGTCTCCTGGCTCTGGGTTGGCTTGAGGTTCTTTGTCCACCGTTACTCACGCCTGCACCTGCGCTGACTGTAAGTGAGAATATGGATTTGGAATCTGTATCACGGGTTCACTCCAAAGACAATTCCCTACTGCAAGCACCACACGCACACCATCTGTAGTTGTCTCAATTGTGGAACCTCTGTTCAGCTTCTTTAGAGTTTGGAAAAACTAACATCCACCAAGTGGGGTTAACATATCTAGCAACTGGTGAACCCTCTTTAAGATGGACCCAAGCGACGGTTTGGAACTGCGGAGCTGGGTGGGATCCCGGTCTTCAGGAAGAATTCCCATTAGACACGGCAACCTGCATCCATGGTCAAATCATGGTCAAATCAATATCACGGACTGTCAAAACTGGTGGCATCAGGCTTTGCCACTGAGCGGACCTAGCGCTTGGCAGAGTTGGGTACCAGACCTCTCCGCTTTGACCTCGCAGGTCGTGTTCTTTCTTCGTTAACTGTGACACCTGGAGCCCGTTTCACCGTAGGTTGACCATCCCTGCTAAGCTGCTAGTCACTGCTAGTCTATTCTGTTCATGTTCAATGCTCAACCAAGTTATCCGGGCTTTGGACCCACAAATACCCACAGCCATAGTCCACCAAATCAGACATGTGACACACCTCTTGGCAGACCAGTTGGATCAGTTTTGTGTCCAAATTCACTTTGCGTTCGGCGTTCATTCGCGCCAGTTTGGGGCGGGGAAAAAGGGAGACCATTGGGTGTAATATCAACCGAAGGGAAATACGAGGAGCAACGAATCATCCAATTACAACACAGATGAATTGTATGAATGACTGTCTTTCGATCGTCTGCACCCCCTACCCAAGCAACAGTGGCAGTACGAAGGTACCAAGTGGTACTTGGTACGATGGTACCAAGGCTTTTTTGGCAGTCGGCTGGTCTAGGGTCTGCAGACTGACCACCTGTTTGCAAGTCTTTCCAGTGGTTCATGTTCAGGTTCTATTGTGCACAAGGACTTTTGGATACTTTTGTTCTGTTCTTGTGGGGATAACCAGGAATGTACACTATGGTCCGAGAAGGAAGCTTGACCCGCTTGCATAGATATGATCCGCTTTGTCCTTTGCCATAGTGGACTGACAGTTCAAGCTCGCTTTAGAGAGTTACATGATGCAGTTTTTGACAAAGTTCGACTATAGTAAGAGTCTGCAAGACTTAATTGTTTCTTAAAGGTCTTCCGAGTCTTCCACTGTACGTCCCACATGTCCACTGTGCTTTGTTGAAGCCCACATCCAAGCAGCACTCCTATTTGGACACGGGCTCGTCTCCTCAGTGTCGCGTGGCCTCCCAACGACCGCGTCCACCGCGTCGTGCCTCCGGTCTCCGGGAGCGCCTCGCGGCCGCGGCGCGACCGCCAGGAGGAGCTCGGGAGCAGGGAGTTCGCCTGGGTCGAGGGCGGAGCGAGGACTCGGAGGGGTTGAGCTGAAGCACCTTCGGGCGGGGCGGGTCCTTTGGAGATGGGGAAGAAGAGGTGCCCAGCGCACAGAAGAAACATGAAGTTGATCTTGGAAGACGGTCTTGTTTTGGGGGGGAGATCCAAGTGCTGGGCATCCTTGGCAACTGGTGAACATCTTCGAACTGAAAGGAAATGGACCGCAGAATCGCGGTGGTCCTCAAAACTGCTTGGGTTCTCCATCGCCTCTTAGCGGCTGCGAACGGCGCTTCGGCCTCGGCCTTCAGACACCTCGGCCACCGAGAAGCCTTTCAAAGGATTCGACCCCTTTGACCAGATGCGTTTTCAACATTCGCTAGCTAGAAGCTATATACTAGTAACATCTAGTAACATGTTCCTTTTCAACGAGCTAACAGTCGCCCGGCTCGCTGCCCACCCACCCGGCCTGTCGGCTCAAGCGTCGGGACCTCAGCGGGGTTTGTGTCACTGGTGTCATGTCCGCGACCAAACACGTGGTCAACATGGGCAGCTTTGGACCCGAGCTCTCAGAGAAGGGGGAGACTTTTTTCTCTAACGGGTGTTCAGTCGTTCAGTCTTCACCTGCACCCTCCAGAAGACACGGCAAAGCCTCAAACCTCCTAAAACATTGATCATGCATGAAAGAAGAGATGAACTGGAGGTCCACATGTCCACCCTAACCAATTCTGGGCAGGCTGGACAGTTTGCCATGCTAGCTGCCAGGCTGCATCTTATTATCCTTTATCAGCTGCCTGTCACGTAGGTCCTTCCGCCATAGAAGAGTTCGTGGTGCAATATGATAATAAACGTTCTTGAGCGATGTATGTACAGATAGTGTACAAGCTTGGTACATGCTACTTGTGCATGTGGATTCTGTGCTGTTCACAATTTTAAACCCTGAATCCAAAGAATTCGAGAACATGGAAAATCACCTGCTCCGCTGGCCTTGCCACCCCACGATCATTCTGACAAGTTGGCTTTGCACACGTGGTCTTCAAGCCAAGTTGAACCCGATGTGAGGACCAGGGACGAACCACAAATGACCCGCCCGAAGACTCTTAAGGTAGACTCTTGATGCTAAAACAAGATGGATTGTAAACCCTCTTCATATGGTTGAGTTATATATGTTACAGTATATATTCATATACTATGTCATATAATAGATATTAATAATCTGAAAAAATAGTATCAAGCCTCTACATTAAGTCTTGGGTCTTCGGTCCACCCCTCGGTCGCCAAGAAGCACCAGCGTCTTGAGCACCACGGACACCAGAGCCGAGCCCAGGAGAAGGAGCAGCGTAAATTTGTAAAAGAAGGCCGGTCGCCGAGTCTCAAGGCCGCTCTCAATATTCATGCCTCAGAAGCTAGCAATGGCCTCCAACCTATAATAGCGAAGTGGCCTCCAGCCTACTAAAGCGATGGCCTCAACATTTGGACAGTCAAAGGAGCAACCACCCATGTCAATCGGAGGTTTACACATGGAGCCTAAATGCTCGACGGAAGTGGCTGCACCACACTCGACGGTCGTGGTCCCTGTACCAGAGGTGCGCCACGACCCCGGTCCCCTGGTTTGCCAGAAACACCGTTTTTTCGCCCCCCTTGGCCCAAAATAGCAACGTATGTCATCTCTCTGCCAGCTGCGTGCTCCATTTTCCTTCCACCTGCGGTGTTCAGAGTTTCCCGGCTGTGCTGCTCCACATGAATCTTCACACATCTTCACAGGAATCTTCATAGGAATCTTCGAACAGCAAACGTTTGTTGGTCAAGACATCCACAATGGCCAACCCAGAATGCACTGAAAGAATGATGCAGCAAAGATCAAACCAAAGCAGAGTCTTCCAACCCTAAATTACTGCCCTGCAAAGGAAAAATGAGCAGCAATCACAGCCGGAGCTGCATCTGACAACGCAAAAAATTTTTCGCGGGGCCAAACTGGAAGTTCGTGGATTAACATGCGCGACCCGACTTCCTGCAAGTAAAATTCCAAGGTCTTCAGACGGGACCACCTGCCACGCCAAGCGACCCAGCTCTAGGTCTTCAGTGCAGGAATAGAAAAAGGTCGCTCCAGATCCACGAAGTACACCAGGAGTGGCCCCTCTTTCGCTCTGTTTGCAAGGGACACCTAAACAATGCATGATTTCATTCCATTGTCTGCGAAAAGTGTTTATCGCTCCCAAGTACAAATGCTCATCGAGGGGGATCCTACCAAAAACTGCTTCAGCCACTCTGACAATGCTGACATCATCCACTCGGCTATGCTGTCGTCTTGCGAAGCGTGCTGTTTTGGGGTCCTTAACTCGAACATATAGGGCAGGTTGGTCAAAGTGAAGGTCACGGGGGAAAACTAAATCTCGCCTGGTCAATGCCAACATTTCGCTGGGATGGAGCATGGCTGCGAAACCTAGCAAAACAAGGGCAGTCCAGTTGGACCATTTCCAGAGAGTTCCCAAGCAGGCCATAGCACGGATCACCACTGCAGGAAGTACTGCTCTGCAAACACCGGGCTCATGCAACTGCCACTTTTTGTCAATTTGCCAAGCAACATGAAGCTGGGGCTTGCAAGCAGGAAACTGATCTTGGCATGCGGTAATCGCATACACCAGCAAGTATCTAGGGAGGCCAGCTTCGAACAGATACATGCCATAGGCCCGCGAGGCCCAAACCAGAGCAGTCATATCTGAAGTGATGATTTGGCTTGAAATCAGCAGCCTCTCATCACACCAAAGCAAAAAGGCATCCAAACATTTGCGCATTCTGTCTGCTGTGGCCTTTGCAAAACCAACCCCTAAGTTCATCTGCCCTCGAGGTTTTCGGGGCGGACCTGGATTTTCTTCGATGTCGCCTGCTAGAAGCAGGAGAAATCTCAGCCAGCGAGCGGCATTCTTGGGAAAACGACTTGACGCCACTACGAAGTCAAAAGCTCGTGAGTCGCCTTTCTGGAGCGACAACAACCACTGGGGAAACGCCCGCGTTGGAGGAGCGAGCTCTCGATCTCGTGAGGGTCCATCACTCCGGTTCGCCTTGGACGGGCAGTGGAGCAACCCTGGAAAAAGACCTGAGCCTAGCACATAACCCATGGTGCCACGCAACACTTTACCTAAAACAGGCGATGCCGAACGCCCCTTCGAGGCCGCGCCTATAGTAACTCTGGAATCCAACAAGGCTACGATCCTACTGTCAGGAGTGGACTTGGCGCAGCTCTTAATGAAGGATTTATAGGTCCTCATCTCATTAACATTGATGTGTCCCGCTTGTTTGAAATGATATCTAAAGACTTCTCGGAAGGGTAATGAATCGCAAAGCTCAATTATCCATTCAGGACTTTCAAACCAAGGCCTGTCTGGGTAAACAGGTTCAGTTGAAATGGTGGGCATCGGATCACTACCTTCAAGCCCTACTTCTTGCAAACTACGGATTTTGGTTGAAAGCGGAATTTGGCCTATTATACATTTTTAGCGTTCTTGAGACCTGAAGCCATGCTGTTCACAAGTTTGAGCGGGTATGCCGCAGAGTAACTTGCCACAGTCTCACCCGCCACCGGTGAGCGCCCATAAACAGCAAGGCTAGAAGGCTGGCACCGCTTCTCGAAATCGGCAACGCTGGCAGCAGTGAATCCACCCTGTACGACGAAGCCCCGTCCTTTGTATTGGCAACTGCACCCACATTCAAGAGGGAGAATCCAAGGTTTATTATGTAACCACTTGGAAGGTTTTTGGAAGGGGTTCCCAAAAGCACAGAAAGAAAAGTGGCTAATGACACTCCCGAGGCTCACCATGACCCGAAAACAATGCAGCAGAAACAGTCGACTGCCCCCCGGCTGCTCCACGCTCACGTAGTGACCTGTCAGTAGCGCAATCGTGAGGATGAAAGCAGTACGTCTTGCTAGCATGTTGTGGAAGGCTGTAAAAGGGTTGTTCGGGTCAAAGCCAGCTGGCTGGGACTTACTTCTAACCTGGGGTCTACGTAAAGCGCCGAAGCTTAAACATGGTACACCTGCGTGCCAGTCGAGGCACACCCGTCGCAACGCAAGTGCTACCAGCTCTTGAGCAACGCCAGGCTTGGACAAATCCATGAAGCGCAGCCGGCGACCGGAGATGTCAACTCCATCATGGACTTTTAAACCTCTGTTGGAATGGGCTTCAGACCAGTTCCCCGATCCTCTAAAAAGTTCAACGCAATCATACAACAGCCCTTCACTGAGAGCAGGTGGAATGCTATGAGGAGTAACTTCGGGTAAGGGACTATTCGGAAGGACTAGGCTATCAGACAGGGGAGTGAACCCTTTCTCCTCTAAGATGTCAGAAACTGGAGATTGAAGTTTTGTGTAATACCCTCTGCTTGCAGTGGCGCCATATCTCAGCTGAGGCTTGCTTTCCAATATCCGCAGAAATGACCGCCCCCCCCACTGGGGCTGGCGTCTGTGCAAAAGATCTTGCTGGCATGTTTGGCTCTCATGTTTCCTTGCGCTACTGAACCGAGAATTGCAAGCACTTGCAGTTCACAGCGACTTCGAGCACTAAGTCTGAAAATCTGATCTTGTGGTAACCCCTGACCTTCTTTAAACAACTGCTCAATGGAGGCAAAAATGACACGGCGGAAAAGGATCACGTGAATCCAGCAACCCATCAACACTGAGAGTACTTTCGGGGTACAGTATCCTTGAAGGGCAACCTGAATCGTTAGCATGCTGAAGACAGCAACACGAGACCTGGGTGCCATGACAACCCCTGCCATCCCATCAAAGTCAGCACCAAGGATAATGCCTCGAACCTGATTGCGTTTCCGCTTCTTTTCATGCTGAACCAAACCGACCTTGGCGTATGCATGTTTGGCTTCCTCAAACACTTCAGTGTCCCGGAGTTTAGGTTGATAGGGGAAATCTTTGATGGCTAACTTTTGCAACCCCACATGATCATCGATGGCTAGAAGTTCAACAAAGTCGCTACGAGGAATGGGGCAGCGATACCGCAAACACTCTGCTGGAACCATTGAACCACACCAAACCTTGAGAACGTTGGAGTGGGCTTGCTGACCGATTTCCACGGCCAGCGAATCTCCCATCGCCAATGTGCTCAAACAAACCATCAGATTTTCACCTTCAAACTCTGGCTGGAAAGATTGCACATGACGCAACTGATCGGCACTGAAAATCATTCGGAAAGCGTTCGCTGGGCACGTTCAGGGCTGACCTTAAAACAATAGTAGTAGTCAGACAAATCATCCGCGTTAAATTGAAACATCTGATCAGGTTCCAAACTCAGCAGCCCTAGCATGCAACCGGGAGCAAGTTCTTTTGTTGAGTGCGAGTAGCTATGCATGCGACCGTTAATAGTTTTTGGGTTGACGATGAGCCTATCAAAATGGGAATCCCTATCAACAGCAAAAACCCCGACGACAGCTTCGCTGAAGTCCTTGGAGTCGGCTGGTATGATGCAACAAGCACCCAACTTATCCCATCTATTAATGAGCTTCATCATTTCACCCCGGCTAGCATGCATTTTGGCTGGAAAAGCCTTGGGCCATTCATTTGGGGGGTTCCTCAAAACTTCGGGTTCCAGAAAAGCTTCACGAACCAAAGGATCCAAATATCCTGAGGCCTCAAAGGACGGCGGATTTTCCCACTTAATCCTGTCAGCTTCGACCGGCTTGGCACTCTGCAAGGTGGCTGTAACAGTGCTTCTACCGATCAATGGCTCGTGGTCAGGCGGTGGATCTGGCAGCTTGACTGGTTTCGCAAAATGCGACTTGCATGGATCAAAACTTCTGCGCAAATCACTAAACAGATCAAAGAGGTCCTCATACCCTAAGGTTGTCTTAGGTAGTTCCATCAAAGAATCAATTAGTCCTTGAAATTTACCCGCAGCTCGACCCAGCTCCGAACCCTCAAAGGGAGCCATGCTGAGAAAGTGAGATAGCATGCCTTCGAAACGCTCGATGATGCTATGCTGACGCTGGCTGATTGGTGCCCCTAGCTGGGCACAGGACGGGGGCGTTTTCACATTCCCCAGAGTTTCCCAATTCAACGTGCAAAGCAAAATGTTGAGCAGGCGGGCTCTCACTTCAAAAAGCTTGCGGCGCCTCCGACGCGGTGGGTTCGGCTTCAAGGTTGCCGCCCATCGCCACCTGATGGGGGGGACAGGCCATAAGGACCCTTTGGAGGGACCATGCACAGTGCAGGTGGGGCTAGCAAGACTAGCCTTGACAAAATGAGTTAAACAAGTATTGCATTTGAAAAACTCATCACACAAAACTTGCATAAGCTGAGTGGGATCAAAATGAGATTTCTCAAATTGGCCAGCCGCATGTTGATCTACAAACGTCTTTTGTTTGGGGTGGGTAGGCTTATCAAACGAAGCATCCCTCTTTGGGGGCCTATCATTGTACTTAGAGCCCGAGCCTAAGAACTCGGATGAGCTTCGGCTTGGTCCGAGGCAGCTTTGTTGGCACCCTTTCCCTTCCCCTTCGACTTGAGTTGAGGCTTTGGCTTCGTTTTGGCTTCCTTGTTGTCGTCGTCTGACAGAGGAGGCTTGTTTCGATTTGGCTTGGACAAATTGGCTATGCGAGTCTAAATCCCGGAGGTATGACAGGTTTGCTGAGATCCATGGCGCAGGGCAGAGTCGAGCAAAAGGCTCCAAGCCTGGCTTCTTTCGAGAGGTCATCATCATGTGACTCGCTGGCTCTGGATATCCTGACAAAAGCCAGGCCAACTGAGGAGTCCAGCGCTGTCTGCTCCACAAAGAACATCATCCTGGACACGGCTCCCACCAGCAACTTGTCCCGAGCCTCGTAGCCTATGGCCCAGCTCTCGGCAAGCATTGTGGCTACCAGGCTGAGCAGTCGAAACTCGGCCAGGGGCATGCAGCGGTCTGGGCCAATACCTAACTCTTTCATCGCATTGTTCTGAGTGAGTGCTGCAACTTTGGGAAGGTCCTGAATTGCTCTTTGGAAAGCTTCTCTGGCCAAGCACCCTTTGACGTTTGAGCCACTGCCTGACCGCTGTCCCCTCCTGAGAGGCCCCTAGCACAGGATCTTGGTGCTTGGGGCAAGAGCTTCTGGATCAGCTGATTCTGCTGAAGTTGCATTGCCAGGATCTGCTGCAATGGATCCGCGCTGGAAAGGGCCATCTGACCTAGGTCTGGCATTGCTAGACCGTCCTCCTCGACCTCCCGCTCCAAACTGACCAAAGCATGTTCCTGCAATACAGTCTCTGCTGGAACGAATGGGCGCCGAGTCTCTGCTTGACCCACTCGGGGTGGAGGAACGCCTGCCAACTTCTGGAGGCGATTCCATTGCTCTGGTGTCAACTGATTGCCAGACTGGTCGAGCAATGGTGGTGCCTTCGGGGTTGGACCGGCTGCACACGCGGCTCGGAGCTGCTTTCAACTGGCTTTCTAGCTCGGCTACACGCCTCAAAAGAGCTTGGACTTCTTGAGGCTGGCCCGAGCCTGGATCGGATGGCACTGAAACTTGGGGCCTGCCAGGTTGGCTGACATCTGGCTCCTCTGCATCTAGCGCCTCGTCCCCAGTCATGTACTCTTGGGCTGTGTCTTCGTCCATCCCAGCAGCTATCCATGCCTCGGCGGCTGCAAAGACTTGCTCTTTCGAAGGTTTGCCAACTTTGTCTCCTACAGCTACTTGAACGAACTCTGCATCGCGGAAAAACCCGCGCTTCGTGATAGGCTGACAGAAGAACGGGGCTGCAGACCACGGTAAATCTACAAGGAAGATCTCTCCTACTCCTAGGGACTTGCCACGAGCTGTCAATACTTCGACTGACACCGGGTGGAAAGCAGGAGCAACCTCGCCTAGCTCTAACTGCAAAATGGCATCTTGCAAAACTTCTGAATTTGGCACGGCTAGCATGAACCCCCGTAAGCGAAGCTCCGGAGGCGCTGTCACGCCTTCAACGTCTAAGGATCTGACTGAACCTCCGGTGGCCATGTGACTCAGGCACTGGACAAACAAAGCTGAGAAAAGGCAATGCACTGGGGCACAACGTCGAAATTGGACCTGGGCACACTCGATCGCTTCCGGTCAGCCAAGAACTGCAAGTCAAGGGCCCTCAAAAGTTTTCAGCAGGGTCGGCAGACAAGGCCAGTCGATCAAGTCTCCCAGGTGTTTACGGGAGGAGAGCCAGCTGGCTCTGAGTGCACAATGGTCAACCAGGAGCAGGTGCTCGAGATCCAGGCACTGGGCGCACACTGATGGTCAATCCTAGTTGTCCCAGCCGGACACGTCCTAAGTGGGTCCCCACTATCCACGGCTCACTGAGATCTGTTGTACTCAGCAAGGCGCCTAGACAAGTCAACCTGCACAGGCACTGGAGGCTGAAGATTGATTGCGATAACCCGAGCCAGATGAGCCAACAGCCGCCTACACTGTGGGCTAAAGATCAGGGCAGCAAAAACGAATCCACAAATCCAGCTTCCAATTGCCACGCACACCAAGGCCAAACCAATAGCGCCCCACGGACAACTAGATGAACCTCCCCACCACCGGAGTTCTTGCAGTACTTCGGGAAGTAGAAAGGAAAGGCTCATGTACTCTTGACCCCAAAAAGCTGCGCCAATCGCACATCCACTTCTGTGAGATGACTGGATATAAACAGCGAGTTGCCAACAAAAAAAAGAAAACCACCCCAAAACCTCCCTTTCACCCTCGATTTGCTCCCTTTTCTGCCGTTGGTTCTTCGCCCCGTTCGCCCGCCACCGAAAACCAGGAGGTCCTTCCGACCAGTGAAAAGCTCTGGCGACGCGAAAACCTGCGGAGGTGCCCATGATTCCGGAGATCACCGCCGCGCAGTTCATGCCCACGCCCAACAACTCCTCAGTTGCTGTGGCGTGTGGCGTTTGGCTCGTCTCAGGTGCTTTTGGGAGACCGGTTCTGAGGATCGAAGGCGTTGAACTAGCTGTGATTCGGGGTGTCCATGTCTACCACCCCGACTGGGGGTCCTGGTATGGTTTCAGTCAGCACTGGATGGATCATAGAGCACCACCGGTTTCACGAGCACCTGATGTCATCTTGGGGTCACCTGGGGTCTGCTTTTCTCCCAAAGCCGGTTCGCAGGAGTCTCAAGGGTGTGGAAAACAAATCCCCCAACCCCGCAGCCGTTGGCTGGGGCTGGATTTTTGGGGCAGACTGCACACAACTTGGAAACCCATGAAAACAGGAAATAGATGGAAATAGTCTGAAATAGTGCTCTGCTCAACGGTTGGTTCATGAGGTCAAAGAAAGATCATGCAAATCTAGGAGCTTCTCTGTTTCTCCTAGAACCCTCTGCCGGCGATCCAGAATGACCAAGCAGCTAGGTTTAGCTGGGATTTCTCCAGCTCCAACCTGGCGATCTGTGGCTTCGAAAAGCAGAGCCGCATGGCACTACTGCGCCACTTCGATTTGGATTTAGAATACACCTGAAGAGTGGAAGATTTCACACACGTCTTCGCATGGGTTCTCTGCCCTCAAGAAACATTGCAGTCAATCGTTTTGATGAGGCCTCAGCTCAAATAGATGAAAATAGTGCTGATTTGTCCACAGCTCAATGTTTCTCTTGGATTGGTCCTTCTACTAAGAATGATTTGGGATGGCTTTATGGGGAAGCCATGCAGAACTTGTTCGCTATGCCTTGTTTGAGTGCCTGCCAGGGTGTTGCTCATCCCGTTCGGTGTGCAAAAGGGCGGACTGCCCTTTCTTCAAACGCCCAACAACAATATCCAGCTGACTGGCCTGATCAGTCAGCATTCTACGAGAAGCACAGAAAGCTAGAGCTTTCACCTACTGTGACCATTCCAGACTCAACCCGGTCGCGAACACCACACCTTTTCACACTCCTCCGACCTTGAGCACCTGGAGCGGTGGTTGGTGCGCGCGTCCGACCCCCCAAAAAACGCACCGGACCTTCGCGAGCTCAAGCGGAGCTCGATGAAGGTCTCCAAGTCGTCCATCGACTCTGAGTGCGCCGTGGCCTCGATGAGAAGGTTAGCAAAGAATGGGAAGATGGAAGAAGGACTGGGGTGAAGGAAAGAGGAAAGGAAAGGGCTGAAGGATCCACCCCTGCGGCCGCAAGCTGCCGCAACACGTTTTGGTTCTTCGTTCTTTTGGGGGGAGGGCTTGAAGCGAAGCGACTCGCACACCTTCCGCGACCTGCATGGTACTCACCAAATGTTCGTAAGGAGAGGGAGCGCCCCACCCAACCCCCTGCCTCTGCCTCAACCTCTTCTGCGCCCTGGGAGTAATACTCAAAGCAGAGTTCCCACTCCTCGATCATTGGTCGAGCGACCATGTAGCGGGCACCGCTTCGTTGGCACGCATCCCTCGTCGTTTGGGGTGACGGGGCACGACGATTCATCAGGCAGGATCAAACCAGACTTATACAGTTCGTGGTGCAGCTCATTGGTCGTGGCTCTCCGAATAAGAAGAGGTGACCAAGGGAACTTGCGACAATAGCGGCAATCTTGCTTCGGGCGTCGGGTTTTCTTACGGAATGAGTTCAGGCCTTAAGCCTTGGAATCGTAAACTGGAAAGGAGCCAACGCGTGCAGGAAATCTCTCAAACGAAACTGCAAAGGCAGATCTTCATGAGATATCTCTACCAACCAGTCACTCTCCCCGGAAAGAAAAAAAATGAAAGAAAGTCGATCAATCGACGTCTGCAACGACCAACGTCACGCTCCAACTCCCGGAGACGCCCGAACAAACCGCCCCCGCTCGGCGGGCTCGACCACGGCTCCTCCTTGGTCGCTCCAACAGCGCTGGAGAGTTGAGACAAGTCCTCCTGGCGTCGTCCACCGTCGACGCGCTGGTCGTCACACCGGCGGCCAGAGTCGCCAGGGTCGAAGCTGAAGTGGTCGTCCGATCTGCTTTTGTTCTGCATCATTCTGCATCCAAAAACCACAGGAAGCCTAACCCAAAGTCGTTTCAGTGGGGGTGCGGCCGTTTTGGGTTCCAAAAACGAAAGGACCCGAAAACGGCTCCAGGTTTGGGATGGGACCCTGCGGCCGGGATGGGAAACCGATGTACGTCTTTCGATTCGTTCCCATCAGAAAACAAGCCTGTTTAGAGAGTCCGCATACTCTTGGCGCTCTTTTAGGCCTACAAACGAATTCAATCCTGCCGGTCCGTCCAATCGAAGTGTCCATTTGAAAGAAAGAAAGAAAGTCCGCATAGGTTTTTGGAGAAGCTTTCGACACGTGCATGTTTTTGTGCCACCGTGGTGTGCTTTGAAGTCACTTGTTCACTGTTCTCTTGCTTTTAGGGGATCTGAGGAGGCTTCTCTGCCCAAAGCTTCGGCTCCAAGGCACAGATGACAAGAAAAACAGAAAAAGATGCCATGAACTTACTTCTGGTTTGGGTCTCTTTTTGTGATTTGATGCACACTGAACAAAGCAAAACAACACACCAGATGAATAACAGGGTGGTTGGATGTGGTTGGGAGTTTGGTATCCTCTCCGAACTTGAAACAGTTCATGGAACATGATCCCCCAGGAAGGCAACATCTTGTCCAATTCCCAACAGCTCGTTGGCTCCGGTTTTCCCTGCTTTCGACACGTATCGACACGTCGACTCGGGCGAAAGAATGCGCGGCTCCTCATCACCTAATGCTTCGAAGAGGGTTTGTCGAAGGTTCGCCGCCTGCTCGACGCTGTGCGTGTTCACGGAGCTGGCTGGATTCACATCGGAACCGTGGTGCGAGACCTCCATGTGGTGCGATGCAAAACTGGATAGCCTACAATGCAAGAGATCCGCATCAAAAGGTCCTTGACCTGCTTTGCACTTATGTTAGATAGGAGTATGGCTTGGGTATATCCCAGTACCAGTAAAAGTGGATGATGATGGTTAGGTGGCAGGCCGCCAGGCCCTTTCTCTAAAATCGTGGTGACAATTGTTTGCCGACTGTTAGACAGGTAATGGGTTTGACCACATCCTTTCACTGATCAGAAGGCGACCAACACCGGTCGCTAATTCCGACCGACCCTTAGGCTTCTCTGATGACATTGACATGCGTGGTGGCCATCGATTTTACATTCATGTTTTTCCTGAAGTGCCCTCGTGAAAAATCTCTTTGCGCATGTCATGGCAACATACTCCGGACGTTCATGCTGCTTTGGTTGCAGGGTGGGAGCGCGGCCACCCCTTACAGTAATTAGTTTCCAAGCCAACGAAAAAGGATCCAAAAAGACTCCCATTTGCTCGAATGCCTGCGACTGAACGGCATCCAGCCGCTGCTTGGTGCGCCGAAGCTTCTCCAACTGGAAGGTAGAGATCTGCAGGCCGGCTGCAAGTCAAGACATTAACCATACAGCCAGGATGACCAGGGAGGTGTGTCTGGGGGCTCTTCGGGGATGTTGAACCACTACAGCAGGCCCGTGAGAGGTGGTATTGTCTCACCATTCTGCCAATCATAGTTCAAGCTGAGACTCCCGTTCTCCATCTGGTCCAATCTGAAGATTGGTGGTCAGTTCAAAACATGTGCTTCATCCACTACTTCCACGACATGTGGTGCGGATCCTCTACCTGAAGTTGACCCAAAGCAGGAAGGTCTTACAGGAGCATCTGGCCATTCCTCACACGGAAAAACACAAGTTGTGCGCTCCAGCTCACAAGTTCTTGGGTGATCTCCTCCCCAGCTGGTGTTTTGTTGTGACCCTGTGGCCCTGTGGAAAAACCGAAACATATCCATCATACTATACAATAGTGCAGGTCTTCAGCATGTTTGACACGTCTGCAAATCTCAACAGTTCCAAGTCCAATCATGATGTCCAACCTTGGGAATAATAGAAGGGTCGATTTGGTAGCATATACCTGTTGGTTGGTATACCAGTAACAGTGGATGATGATGGTTAAAACGGTGGCAGGCTTTTCCCAAAAAGAGTTACTACTTTATACCGACTGTTACTGGTTTACTGGGATACACCCCACCGTTTGGGATACACCCCACCTATTGGTTGTACACCACCAGGGTATCCCCTCTACTAATCCACCCAACCCCAAAGTAAAAGGACATCTAATAATCGTGCCATCTGGAAGAAGCGGGCTTCTTGCGGGTCGCAGCCCGAGGGCTCATGGAGTGGTTTCCAGTTGGCGACCTCCCACACCTCGAGTCTGGTTGGCATTCCACATCGTGATGGCAAGAATCGGGCGAACCCAAAGACTTAAATAGTGGTAGTGTTCTCCATGGCAACAAAAGAAAGAGGCTCTCACAAATCTGTGATTTAGAAGAATGAGCTTCCTGTCCTGAGTGTGGGACACCACATGGGACTCCCTGAAAAGCCTCCACCCACGCATAAGTTCCGCACCAGGGCAGTGTGTGGTGCACAAACACAACAGGTCCGCGTGAACGCGGGCACGTGTGTTGCCCTGGACCCGGCCATGCACGCCCTCCACTCGCCTCTTGCTGTACAGTCCCCACATACTCACCTAGCAAGTTCAGCTTGCACAAGAAGTGGTCGACACGTTGAAATGGTCAACATCAAGCTGGATGGTGGTTTAAACAGTTCCCCAAGAAATGTGTCAACTGGGGCAGTCGTTCCCAAATAAGGTTGAAAGGGTATAAGTAAATGAAAGCGCCAACTCAGCGTCTTTCGACCCCGACATTCGCAGCCACGGAATGAAATTCGCGACGGCACGGATGTGATGTGACATGTGTCTTTCCAAAAACGGTCGTCCTGACAGGACATTGGCATTGTTAATGAAGTCCATATTAGTGACAAATCCATCTCCAGCCCAAATGGATAGGACGCAGTAAATGATTTGAACCCCACACGAGCTGAAAGCTGGATACCCCGAGTCTCTTCCAATCCCAAACAAGGTACAACCAGGCCATCAGAGGTTGGACGAACCCCTCCAGCATGGTTGTCGAAGTAATGCCCCAACCTATTTCTTGGTAGAAACATGCTGCCAAATGTCAAAACGTTCCGGCCCCCATGTCATGAGAGCCACATAAACAATCTGAGCAATAAAAAAATAAAGGAGTACGCTGGTCTCTGGTCTCTTAGATCCACAGCCTCTTGGCCCACAACCCATATGCACAGTCTCTAGCTCCATCGGGCCCCCTCAAACCTGGTCCTTCTCCAGGCGACGTAGAAGCACGTTGGCTTTGGCGACAGCAGGCTGCAACAGATTGGTGATCTTGTCCAAGTAAAGTGCTAAAAGGGCCTGAAAAATGCCGCGTGTCGGACGCGGCCGGTCCAGGCCGCTGAGGAGGGTGAGTGCGGCCGCAGAAGGAGTCTCAGATCTGCAGAAGCGGAAGGTCTTGGAGCGTGGCTGGAGTGGAAGGTCTTGGTCCATCACCCAGCCAAGGGGTGTGTCTGATACAAAGGTGATTCGGGACACTCCATTCACCATGCCGCAGTGGTGAGCCCTGGCAGATGCTCGTTTGCCCAGGCTCTTTCCAATCCCTTCGATGCACAAACAGGCGAATCGAACCGATACGCCGGCCGTGGGCTCTGCGGGCTCTGTAAGGAAGGCATTGGATTGCAATGATATGGTGCCACAAAGGAAAGGAATGTATGACCTGTATACAATAAAACATAATAGTGATAATGATAATAGTAGTATTATATATTATATATAATAGCAGATAAATAAAAAATAGAATTGAATGTATACCCTGTCAATATCGGACACTGTCAGTCTAGGCTTCTCATTGATCAGTCATTTGAAAAACACTATTATGTCACTTCATTTTGGACGTTCGAACATGTTCCGTCACGTGTAAATGCGACCAAGAGACCTCAGTGACGGCCAATGCAAAGGGTACAGATTCTCCTCAGTCAGCATGTGAAACAGCCACAACTAGCGTAGAAAGCCTTCGATACAAGGCAAACAATACAGCCCCCTTCAAGCCTCTTGGCTCAAATCTCAAGTGGTGGCACACATCAAGAGTTGCTAAGAATAGTCTATAAAGATGGGACTTGTATAAGCGCCAAGAATTCCGCGGTGTTGCAGGCTTCCAAGTAAACCTATTCATTGCAGAACACTCTGCTGACTTGATTGGTCTACACTTCCATACACTTCCATAGCTTTGATACCAAACCTGACTATGGGATATGTACATGCAACCAAGAAAGGCACCAAACATGATGGACATCACTATGTACAGAGGCCATGTACAAAGGCCTCCAACTGCAGTTTATGCTGGTTTACCAGGAGGGTACTCTGGGGCACTCTGGAGTGCCAATGTCCAGTGCGTGTCAATTTTGGGTGGATGAGACATTGCATGAGGGAGGCAGGTTCTCTATGAACTGGCTATCGCCCGAAACGGTCCGAACCTGTTCCAACCCCTCATCCATCAAGTTCAATGAAAACTGTGACCTTTCGTCCGCATCCCTAAAGCTGTTCTGGCCACACTGACTGGGTGGAGCCATGTCATTCCTTCTTTCGGCGTGCCGAACAAGCCAGGCCCCCAATCGGTAGTTCATCTACTCCATACCCCAAATGAACAGGCTACTGAACAGGCGCCAAGCCTCGAGCAACTCCTGCTGCGGGAAGCGAAAAATCCACCAGCTCCGCGTATTTCTGCTGGATCTGCGGCCACGTCCGGCCGGGCCCCAAAAGAAGTCGAAGTGGTGGTCCGCAACTCAGCTTGGGGTCGACTTGCGTCCGTTTCGAAGATGTACAAGTCTTTGGGGGGGTTCTGTTTCAAGACCACATGGGATGAATACCTTTGAGATCCATTTTTCGCAATGCCCCCCCAAGATCCCCAAGTTGAAGCAATAGTTTCGACCTTTGGGACACGGACACCACTCACCCGACTCTCCACCCACCGCGCGCCCGGTGGCCGATCGTTTGGATCTCCGTGCCCCGCGGGAGGATCAACGCCTCGTAGCGGAGCCCGATCAAGCGCGAGAAGCGGAAGAAGGTCCGACCCTAGTAGCGGTGGCCTCCACCCTCTGTCAAACTGGTTCCCTTGACTCAAGTCTACAGTTCAACCCTTCCAATACGAGAGGTATCTATACACATACGGTAAGACGAACTGAGAGAGGTCCCTACAGTCCCCTTCAACTTGTACTGACCACAGAGTCTCTCAACCTATCCTGGCATACAAAAAGCCCAACAACTCCTCTTTTAGCACCACAAGTGGTGGTCACCAGCGAACTGGTTCATCCCAAGCCCTCTTTTTGAGAAAACACTCAGAAAGTCCTGCTAGTATATTATTTAGTATTAGATAGTATTAGTGACTACTAGCATATGAGGATGTGTACATCAGCAACGAGGGTCTGCTCACATGTTTCCTTTTGTAAACCAAAGGTCCCCCGATCATGTTTCTGGAAACCGATCGCCTAGGAGAACTCACAACTCACCCATTGCATCCCATTGGTTCCTAGCAAAAACACATGGTTTTTCCCCACCCTAACCAATTCCGGGTCCTAGGTCCTAGAAGGCTTGAAGATTCGCCCCCCAATGAGTTCCCTGCTGTGGCATTGGCCACGACCACTGCCGGGCCGTCACGGCCCAGGGACCTCAGACGACCGATCTGGCCCACCGCGGTTGCTTCCGACTGAGAAGGAGGATGAACTCGAAGCGACACGGGTGTTTTTTTGGGGGTGGATGAACTAACGCGAGAAGATGTCCTTAGAAGTTCCTGGAAGGACCTGGAAGTGACTTTAGATCGTGGCGCATGGTATGTCTGTCATGCCACTCCATTTCACAGCTGTTGCTCACGCCCTGCCGCTGCCCTAATTCTTGAAGCCCAATCATTGGGTTTCCCACCCCCCCGGTCTCGCCAAGGCGCAGCACCGTGCCGCCACGGCGCACGTTGAGGTCGAAGCCTCGTCGTGTCTTAGACACCAAGGCCTCGAATGGGAAAGGTCGCCCCTTCACGGACTCCTGGGGTCGAACAAAGCCCCCCTTCTACTGGTCCTGCTGGTCCTCCTACGCCTCCTTTTACCTCCAGTACTCGCCCCCTGTCCTCCCCCCGCTTGGTGACCAAAGCGCAGCGATGTCACGCGGCTTGAGACCGAACTCTTCGACCAGCTTGTGCCGCTCCATACTCGACTGGCACCGGCCGTGTTCGATTCGGTCCTTTTTTTGGCTCGGCATGAAACGCTCCGGCAAGATCCCTGCGGAAATATGATGATCTATTGTGGCTGGCCAAAATCCGGAGCCCCAAACCCTGGTAGGTGGACTACTACCCTAAGCCTAGTAGTCTATTCTCATGTTCGGTGGTCAACCAGGGTCCCGGTGCCATGACCCACATCTTTCGTTGAGAGAAAGTCCTTCCCAAAGAAATGATATACTGTACATCCCAGAGAGAGTGGCCCTTCTTAACTCTTTGGGGGAGGGTTCAAATCTGGAGTCAGCAGGTCAGCTGGAGCCAGCAGGTGTGTTGGTCGGACATATGCGTTGGTCTGAGGGGGTGTAGCTTTGATCTTCCTCACAGAAATATCGAAACCCACCCAGCCTCCCACCCAAAGCCACCGGCCACCCAGCAGCCAGCCACCATGCAGCTCACTGATCCATGATTCCAAACCTTCACCTGACGTTATCTCGATCTCCACCTCCAGGTGGATCTCGCCGGACGGCAGCAGCAAGGCGCCCTGGTAGCGGCTGGGCCGAAAGATCTTCGGAGGAATCGCTGCCTGGCCATCTCACGTGGTCGCGGGCTGTCGCCGGGTTTTTCGGAAGGAAAAGAGTCGGGGCCATTCGTTGGCCAAGCCGAGGGCTTGGACGCGGATCGGAGGCCATGTCGCTGGTTGGGGATTGAAGTTGCCTTGGAGGTCGGAAAAACTGCCAGTGGAGATTGTTTGGGTCCAACATCTGTGCTCCCCGACGAAATTGAAGGACTTGCAGACATCTCTGCGGAACTTCCAGAGGTGAACTCCAGAGCTTCAGTTTGGGTGATTTGTTTCCACAGGCTTTGATAAGGGAAACCAGCTTCGTTTGGGCTCTGATTTCGAGGCAGGTTCTTTCACTGTCCAAAGTTACTGGGCATATTTGCCAAAGTTGGCATTTTAGGACAAAGCCATTCCCATGCAAAGACAGCGTTGTTGGGTCCTTCCTAGCATGTATATTATGAGTGTTGGAAAGCCTTCTATCTCTTCGCAAACCTCCATATGCTTGGATGTGCTCGATCGGAACCAGGAAACCAACATCTTGCACAAAGGAACCGCGGACTTGCCCACGAAGAAACTCGACAATTACCATCAAATAGATCCAAATAGAGTTATAGGGGTCCCCCCCGAAAGAAACCATCCAAGTGCTTGAGCCACTTGAAGAGCACACCGTCCGCGGAGCCAACGGCCAGCACGTGTGGCCTTCAACCCGCCCGGGGAGCCACCCACGGCCTGGCGGTCCGTTGGCTCGGCCGGCCACGGGCTCTGAAGGAATGCGGCATGTGATTGACATCTGCATTTGCATGGGTTTCTCAGATGTGATGTATTGAACCATCACGTCGTCGTGAGTCTTTGCAGGTTTCTCTAATGAGGTCGTGTTACGTAAGCTGAGTAAAGCATCAGTATTCGTGAGTCGTGTTCGTGGTGCAGATGGAAGTCTTCAAGATGCTTCACGACGGTGGGGTCAGGTCTTCCCTGGCAGTGGACGATGGATGTCCATTCCTCTTACAGTAATCCCTATCCACAATCAGTTTTCATGGTCCATCTGACTTGCATTTGCTAAACAAACAATTTTGTTCTGTAACCCGCTGGACGAGAGAATTTCTCGCCAGTTCGCTGCCTAAGAACTGCTCCTATCACTCTCAGTCAGTCTGGCCTTCATTGCAATCAGATTGCTGGGCCATGGCGACCACAGCGAAACCATTGCAGGTTGAGAGAAACTCTCTGCACAAAGTTTGACTGTCACCAACTAACTCTCCTCTCTCTCATGGATCCTTTTTTGCCAAAAGACCCCTCTCTTCACATCTGTTCATTCGGAGATGGGACGCTCGGAATCGGAATGGTTGGTTGGTCGAGCTGCTTGGTGCCGCAACCTCCTAAAGTGCCTCGTCCGACGGCGACTCCACCAGCGACGGCGACTCCAACGAACCTCCGTCGTTTTCTTGTTGACCGACGGAACCGGACATTCGTAGGCGGGTCCAAGAGGATCAAGGTGGGCTCACCCAGTCAGGTGGGCTCGATGTTTCATGCCGAACTTTGTAGGAAAGCTTCTGTCTGCATGTTACTGCATGTTCCTGAAGTCCTCTGGTGGTTTTCCTATGGACTCCCCCCTGCCAAATGTGCCCTGCCAAATGTGGATGAAACCATTTTCGAATTGCTCTTTGAACAGTGGCGAATCATTTCCCAGCCCAGCATCTCAGTACGAACTTGATCCTTTTTTTACATATTCAGGGCTATCTTTGTGGGCTCTATGTATTTTCTCAGCTGTGAGCAGCCATGGCAACGGTAGCTTCGACATGAGCCGCTTGCCTTCCTTCAATTGCTTCAATAAGAAAGGTCGCAGGCCCGGCAGGCCCGGCAGCCCCTTGACCTGCTGGTTAAGACTGACCCTTCTTCTCCTGTGGCCTTCACTCCTGGCTTACCGATCTTTGGCTGACCCCCAAGCCCAAGCATGAAGCAGCTTGATCAGACCAAGCTTGAAGATTCCTCATATCATGCTCAGTATACCCCGTCCGATCCGAGTCAAATCGCGGATGAACCGACATGAAGGCCGTGTGAACCAGGTCACTCCAAGAAAGATCTCATGCAGGTGTCCCGACTCCCGAAAAGGTAAAGAAGTCTGAGGATGTTTGATGGGAAGGGTCCATGGAGCTTCTCAGAGGGCTCATGCTTTGTTGGCCGTCTACTGGGCCATGCCGGCCATGCCTCCACAAGAGTGTTTTCGAATCAGAAGGCAATGGCGCTGAATGATGCTGAATGGACTTGCTGTGAATGCTTTGGTTGATTCGACTTGCCCACTATTCAACATGCTTGTGACCATGCACTGGGCCATGTCTGTCTCTTCATTTTGGGAAGTGGGAGGACTTTCCAAGGCACGCCCAGGAGCACCAATAATGACTGTCGGCTTTATATAGTATATTAAGAGTCATGTTAGTTTCACGAGTCTAAAAATGATCCATTATAAAATGGAAAGATTGACCCTGACAGGACCCCATTTTAGATCTCATGTCGCAACAGTATAGGGATCCTCAAACATCCCAAGCTCCAGCCCCAGGGGTGAGGGCCGCCGGGTCGGATGAAGCGCCTCTGTCAGAGATTCCTTGTTGCCAAGCTGGTCAGCAAACGTGAGCTTGTGGCTGCTGGTCTGAAGCAATCGAGCGGATCAGCTTCTCTAACTGAGTCCATACCTACGTGAGGTTTGCCACAAATGGCATCACTGGAGGGTCACAGTGTCTGAGAAATTCCACTGGTGGCGCCCGGAAAGTTGTGACCCAACTAGTGGTATCCATACATCGCAGTGGTACCCATCGCGTCTCAGATCTTCAGAGATGGCGGATCCTGGCGGCCTATCTACGGTCAAACAAGCCACGTGTGAACTAAGCGCAAGCGAAAGACCTGAAAGACCCCGCCTGTCCCTTCTTGATGATGTTCCCTTTTCGGTCCTTGCGTGTTCCTCAGACGCAACACGAGTGGCTACATCAATGCCTTTTGGGCCAACTGGTCAAGCGTTCGTTTTTGTTCGTTTCTGCGAATCCAAGTGAACCACGTCCGACAACGAGGACCGTTGATGGTGTCCTCAACACCGAAGATCTCCAGACATGTCGCTGTGTGACGTGCCCCAACAAACCACCTGTGGAGGTGAACCTGACTTCCCGGAAGGCCTGGTGGGAAGACGAAGACTCGTGCGTGCTATATCTAGCACGTCTTTCTGCCAGCTTCATCGCAGCGGCGAATTCTATACCTTTTTTGGTGCCGACGTGGTAGTTCCCAGTCCAGACCGCCGCGAGTCTCCGCGTGCGCTGCGTGTCTCGGATCGAGACTGCACAAACCCACCTCCAGGTGACCCTGCCAGATGATCCCAAAAGCCCCAACCACCGCACTGGTCGCCCAACACATCCCGCGCAGGCTTTGATACAGGCCCCGACCAGACGTACCGGCAGGAGGCGGAATCCTCAACGACCCCCCCCCCCATCCGTCTCCCCCTCCGTCTCGCGGCGCGTTCCGCTCACCCGACGCGTCGGAGGCCGAGGCGCCGTTGGGCGAGGTGCCGGAGATCGCTGACTTCACCGACGAGGCTCCGTTGGACTTCTCGCCCTCCGCGGGAAGGGGTGGGAAGGGGCGAAAAATCCCAGGGCATGTCTCGGAGAAGGTGCGAAGATGAGACTGGCAGAATGCAAAGACCGTTCTCCGGGGACGCTACGAACGGAGCTTTTTCGCTACTGGCTGTTGCAGTTTTTGTTGAGGTCCATCAGGGCGAAACCGCATGTTCCAGCCGTGGATGCCCTCATGTTCCGGGTCATGGCAGCTGGCTACAATGTGGCCATGGGCGGCCCCATGAAGTTCCAAGATGGGTGGCAGAGAGCGCCACCAAAAAGCAAAGAAGGATTCGAATGGATGGGAGAAAACCTTACCAGTCCAAAGGACCCAGTAAAATGTACAGCTTTTGCATGACCGGATCCAGCAAAATGAGGTCCTTGACCTGTAATTATAGGATAATCAGTGAATCATTATTGATGATGAGGATGAGGATGAGGATGAGGATGAGGATGAGGATGAGGATGATGATGAGGAGGATGAGGATGATGATGATGATGATGATGATGATCATCATCATCATCATCATCATCATCATCGTCATCGTATAAATATTTATAAATGAATCATGATATGTCATAAATAAATAACATCATGTAGTAGGATGAGTCGTTGATCATCATATACACATATATACATATATATACCACTCGTCTTTGAAGGTCGAAAGCATTGAAACCTACAGAGGCTGGAACAGTTGACCCCACCCCCCCGGTCCCGTTCCAACCCGACAGATGCCTCAGATTTGGCGCCCACGGAGATCGCCTGGGAGCCGCAGGTCGAATTGGGCTAGCCGTCCAGGGTAGACGATCTGCGGTCCACTGGTGACACAAATGGCCGCACCCTGCTGGCTGAGCCATAGCCATATCCCCTCCTGCAGCTTAACATGCCTTAAAAGCCAGTGGAAATATAGTCCATCTTGGTCCTTCGTTTTGGACTCTTCATTCACTCTTCCCACAGGTCTATTTTGCCACGTACCCCTCCTCACCCACCCACACGGGTCGCGAAAATTCCGTGGCGGTCGCTGGTGCTGGGCGGCCCGAACACCAAAGGATTTGTCCTTGGGGATGGACGCCGTCGAATGAGGTGAGGTTGGTTCAGCGCCTCAGGCCAGTGCCACTGAGCGTGCAGTGCACCCAAGCGCGGAGACCGGGGTGGAGACGGCGGGTATTAGGGTGCAAGTCTTGACTGTTTTTTGTTGGCAGGTGCCGGTGATTAAGGAAAAATGGCCACCTGCGGTGTGTTGGGCCAAAGAAAGATCTACGGATCTACAATCCCACCTGGGCTGCTTTTCAAAGAGGTGTATGTATATATACATATGATTTTTTAAGAACGCAGCCGAAAGTTTTACTTAGGAGTCTATAGATTTTATGAACCAACCAAACCAAACTGTTTCTTCATCTTGACCAACGTCCCTCTGAACCGCCACCCGCGAAACCTGGTGGGGAATGCAAGAAAACGGGGAGAACCAGGGTCTCAGCATTTCTACACTCCGGGAGACTGGAAGGACTGGTTCAGGTGTGGAGACAGTAGATGCTGAATAAAGATTGCACACTCCCTGTAAGAATTAGGGTTAAGTGGATGGCATGGCCCTTTTTCAGGAAGACCGTTGTCCTCTTACCAAACCGCGACGCCAGCTCCCTCCACTCACCAGACCGTGCGGCCGTGCGTGGTTTCGAGTACATCACATCTTTACGGTTCAGAAAACTCCATGGTGCTTTCGGTGGTTTCGAATCTTTCACTCAAATCCCTCCAAGGTTTTCCCAAAACCGCGGCAGTTTCTTCGGCCCGAGTTCTCTCGGCCTCTTACCTTCTGTGTTCCACGTACTGAACCGCTCGAATCGGTGTCGGAAGTGGATCGACTCACCGAAGCGAAAATGAAGCGAAGAAACGACAAACTCAGCCCGGATGGAGCACAGCCCAGCCCGGAACGGAAGACCAGGCTTTTCTTTAGCACCGGACCTGCTGCTTTGGTTTACTTGACGATGTCAAGGCAGAGACAGTATATACCATCCAAAGATCCATGCAAGCAGGGGTCCCAAATGTGTGTTAGAATCGTATCATGGTTCATGAGTTTATTATAAGTACCCACGGTCCACCTCAAACCTAAAATGGTGCCTTGGATACGGACCCCTCTTCCTCTGCAAACCAGCGTTTTTCGGGCTGCTTCTGCGTCTGCTTCTCCAGTCTTCTCGGAAGGCATCTCCCTGGGGCCCCAGCCGCCTTTCGCAGAAGCCATACTTCCTCACGGAACTGGACCAGATACGCAGGAACTGAGTCTCTAAATGAGGAAAGCTGCGGCATCCCCAACCTATGGAGCTTCATAATTCTTTCCAAACCAAGGTGTCGGGATCATTTCGTTGTCCCGTCTTGGTGATGGGTCTTGACCTACACAACCAGTGGTTGTTTCAGGGCGATGCTGCATGGCAAACCAGCCATCAACGTTGACTCCAACACCATGTTAGAGTTGAGAACTCCTGGCCAAGTGAGGGAACCCTCGAAAAGTGGCTCACCGGTTGACCTTCAATATGTTTTTCCAAACCTTGACATGATATTGGACTGGGAGCTAATGCAGAAGGGATTTGTTCAAGTCAAGATCCTCTTTTCGGACCTTCAGCAGCTAAAAAAGCACAAAAGTAGCAAATCCTTCTCCACATCCCGTGTTTTCACACTGTCTTCACATGTCTCAGTCATGTCTCAACAAGAATCTGCAGGTTGCCTGTTCTCCCCCAATCGCTGAGTCCCAAACCAAGGAATGACCTGAGGCGGGGCGCGATTTCGGTGAGAAACCCGACCAGTCCGACTAGGTCAAGAACATGAAACTGTCACCTATCCAATACATCTATATATATACATCTATATATCTACATGATGGACACCTATCTACTCGAAAGAAACAATCTCAGCAGGGGGGGCCTTTCTCAAACCTTTCTTCTTGTTGGACACCTTTGGACACCTATCCCCTCCATTCTCCTGATTCTACAGGTCTCTTTCCTACCTCGTGCACCAGTTTTTTCCCGTGAGACTCCTGACATCCAAGGCGGGTCAGGCCACGTTTCGTCTCGCCCGGACATTCTGGACTAGGCGCCCCAGCCCCACGTTTGCAGGGCCACACGTCGGCTCGCTTTGGCGCGGGTCTGAGAGTTTGGTCCCTCGGGTGCCCCCCCCCGGATTAACTCGTGGCTGTGTCGCGGGCGACGTCTCCAGCTATGGGTGTGAAAAGAATAGAGGCTCTAGTTGCTGAAATCCGATGTTGGGACTCATGACTGGAGCTTGGCTTGAGGTTGTGGTTAAAATTGTGTTGCAAATTGGGTGCCCTTTGATGCTCTAGAGGTTCTTCTTGACAACATATTGACCCTTGCCATCAACCTTCAACAGGAGTTGCGGAAAAGGTCCCGCAGCCCCCGTTTGCTGCCATTGATCCAAAAGCGACGGAGCATCAAACAAGTAGCATTCGGCCTCCCCGAATGCCAAGTCAACTGCATTCAGATTTGCAAACCTTTCGGGCTACACCAAAAAGAGACTGCTTCACACCTGGCACTTCGACATGAATCATGAACATTTGTGGTCAATCAAGTGGTGCAAAGAACTAGCCTTATCTTGATGTGCAGAAGTGAGTGTACAAGTTTGGGGCAAGACTTGAATCTTTCTGCACTACACTCGATTGAAGTGTAAACTTGGTACACTCGACGTAGGCAGATCCATTCGCTTTGAAGCAGCTTTCGCTCATTGGCCTAGGCTTCTACTTTCCATCCAGGTCGCCGACTTCACTTCAATCAACCAGCTCGGCATGAACGAGCACAGCTGGTGCCTCCTTTTTCCAAAGCTGCCTTTGACTAGCCAAAACTTTGTTCAGAATGTAATGCCCTTGGCTAGAAACACTCTCTACAGGGCACTGGGAAGCTTCTATCATAAATCACATGATCATGGCTGTTCCAGCCTGAGGAGTAAAGTGCTTGTAGGTAGCACGTGGTTTCGACCATGCGGCATCGCACCAATTGCCACACGTGTGGTGATGGAAGAAGTTCTCAATCCCCTTTTGCCCCAAGTCCGTTGGGCCATAGCGCTTGTCTCTGGAATTTAGAACCGGATCAGTCAAAACCACAGCAGTATCTTCAATCGCACCCTGCAAGTCGCAAAGAACCACATCTCCATGACTATAATGATAAGAAAAGTGGCTCAGGCTCTGAAGTGCTTTGGACCACTCACTGACACCTTGCCACCCACTGTTGGAGTTGAAGTTGTCAAAGTTTGCAATGAACGGCTCAGTCAAGAAACGCTGCTTGGTCTTCTTGCTATGCCAGATTTCAGCTTTGCACACCTGAACCAAGGACTTAAACTTTTTCACCTTGTTGAAGGCATCGGTGATTTCAATGGCCTTCTCGCACAAAGCTACATCATGCTCAAAGAAGGAGTCCTCGAACGCTTCTGTTCCATCCTTGAAAACCTTCGAAACATTGCTCTGTCCAGCGCGATCACCGACAGTATATTCTCCTTTAAAGACCTTTCGAAACTTTCCCTCTCCAACCGGTTTAGACCAATCAGTGGTCCCCTCTGAAGCATTGTTCTCACGTGCAGCCGTGAGAGGGCGCTTCAATTTTTGTGTCCTCTGACTCTTCAGAGCTGCTTTGGCTACATCAATCAGCTCTCCAAGTCTAGGGGACCGCAACTTCTGCTGCTCATTCAGCACAGCTTGCTCAATGGCATGGCCACTAAAGCCCTTCTCCTCGGACTCAATGAAATCCATCTTGATATTTCGAACTGCTTGCGCAGCCAACCGGTTGTCTCGAAAGGGATTCTCGGGCTCTTTGTTTGGCGGGAACCCTTGCCTCTGGTTTGCAACAACATCGAACTCGATGGTGACCAAGCCTTTGTCCACCCTCACGTGAATGCACCGAGGGTTGACACTTTCTATGGTATAGCCTCTCTGCTTGATGCCCGACACGATCCCATCCCATTGCTGACGAGAAATAGGGCCACTTCCAAAGACCATGACATCGATGTCAGACTCGCCAGCCACGTCGGTGCCTTTCATAAAGCTTCCAGCTTTCCTCGATAGAAACTGAATTGACTTGAGAATCCAAGCCGGTGGCTCCAAACTTCGATTCTATATTACTACATGTGTATATATAATATCGTTGTATAACTGGAACGCCTCTCAAGTTCTTCATGAGATTCTGAGGTGAGTCGGCCAAGAATGAGATGAGCTTAGCCGCCAAGGATCATGAGCTTAGCAGAACCACCCAACACCTGCTTTACCACTGCCTCAATGTCAGTGACCCCTCGTGAGATGACGGCGTTCTGCTCTTGAGTCCAATGCCCGCCTTAATGGCCGAAAGCAATAAAGACAAATGTCTGCCTAGCTGCAATAAAGCTGGGAGCTAGCCATTCGAGGCGAACCTCACTAAAGCCCATCAAAGGGCAGCATGTCGAGTCTTGTCATAGACAGGGGCTAGAAGACAAATGTCATGATATCCACACATATCCCTTCCCTCTGGGCAGAAACGATACCATTCCTGGTTTTTTCCTGTAATCAATTCGATGATTGTCTCATCGGACCTTCTTTTAGCCAAGCTTCCCATATCTGCACGGTGCTGCAACTGTCCATCTGACATCAACGGCGTCTCCGTTTTGCTGCCATCGGCGTGGATGGTGATGTTCGTTCCCCGAACCTTCACTGACCGCCCTTCCACCATGGAATCCGATTTGTGACGCAGCTCCCTCTCTACGTCTTCTAAGCGAACCTTGGCGAGGAAGCTGATCTGTGGCGACAAAGCGACATGAGACTTTTGCTCACAAACTCTCTCCACACTCACCCAACCACAATTTTGTTGAACGCCTGAATCAAAGAGGCTATTCAGGGTTCTGGAAAAAATCAATCGCTCGTCGTGTGTGTGTGTATATTTATATGTAATATATTATTAGAAAGCAATACACTACGTACAGCACTTGAAGAGCAGATGCAAAGAAAGAAGCAAACTAAGCTCGCTAAATCCTTTAGCGATGATCTATTTGCAAGACACAAAGCAAAACGCAAAAAAGTCAAAAAGTGAGAAAAGTCAAAAAGCCAAAAGGTGAGAAAAGTCGAAAAGGTAAAGGAAACGAAAGCATGCAGCGAGACTTTTCGACTTTTCGAGACTTTTTGACTGTTCGACTTTTCTCACTTTTCGAGACTTTTTGACTCTTCGACTTTTCGAGGTTTTTGGACACCAGTCACATGCCGTGCCCTTCAACAAAAGTCTACAAATGTTGCTTTTGCTCCTACAGATATAGGTATAGGTTGCTGTTTTCCAGACATCTCCGGCCGTGTCAAAGTGAGTCAGCCTCGAGCAGGAACGCCTTCAAAAAAGAGACGCCGGCCAAAAGGACCCGGCAAGCCCCGGGACCTTTTGGCGGGTGACTCGTTGTATCATCGTTGCCTTTTCGTGCACTTTTCGACTTTGCGACTTTTCGCGACGTTTCGACTTTTCGAGACTGTTTGACTTTTCGACTTTTCGCGACTTCTCGACTGTTCGCAAAAAGTTCGGAGAGCAAGTCAAAGGGCCTGGCCATAAAGTGACTGAGCAAAACCAGCCAAACAAACAAAGAAACAAACAACATCGAAAAGGTGTGGCCATTGCTCAAGTTTCAAACGAAACAAGCCGATCAGTACCACCAACCGTCACAGACTTCAGTTGTTTGGCAGTAACAGGAACCTTCCAAACCTGAAAACCTTTCATTGCTGTCTAGACACAAGCAGCACCTTGACCTTGCCACACTGGCCAGCACGTTTTGCCATCTTGTAAACTGCCAGCCTTCGGTTGTCCAAAGTCACGAGGATACCGTCCTGCCGCCTGACGATGTGCATGAGTGCAATCTTGCGCTTCTCCATCCCCGCTTCGATCTGCTCAAGAGTCTCAAAAATGGACGGACGTGGCTCATCCTAAGGGCAGTGACTGCTGCGGTTTCAGAACTTTGGACTTGATGTACAGAGTGTCTTTTGCACAGCAGGAGTGTCTTCAGCCTCGCAATCTAAGAGAAAAGAAAAAGCACCGTGACACCGACCTTGAAATGCTCCCCGATGGTGCCTTGGGAAAAACGGATCATAAACGGATCTTCGAAGCATTCCATGGCGACGGCTGGACAGGAACGCGGCCTTGAGACTTATCTCAAAAGCTAGATGAACAATCCGTGCAGATCAGCCAAAGGCGTCGAACGCATCGCATTCCTATCATCCAAACAAACACATCTGCTGGTGAGTTGATTGAATTTTCATGACGAGTGGTCAGAAGCCCCAAATCGCTAGTCCCCAGTTGTGCGGAATGCTCAAAACACAAAAGAGTGAGGTCAAAGTTTTGGGTTGACATCATTGGATCACATGAGCTAATCTGGCAGGCTGCAAGAACATCATGGCTCCCTATTCACTATTCGAGACAGGCGCAAGATAGGCAGGTTGGTTGGGCAGAAGACTCCACAGACTTCCAATCTACTACTGTGTATTTCTTGATGCTGGCACATATCACTTGGATCTCCTCTTTTGGTCCTCGGAGGCTGCAGAGTCCGTCACCCCTCACGGAGCTCCTGTCCCGGCGCTCAGCTCAGACGGAGCACCCGAGGTATCCAGCGTGCATCCAAAAGACCACCCAACTACAGTATTGATCAAATCTTGGTCATAGTTCTGCTGCAGTGGGTCCCCCTGCCATAAGGGCATGCCTTAGGGGGAGTTTGCTTCTTGTTTCCAAGCGTTTCAAAAGAAACTGTTATAAATAAGACAGAGTGATATCGGTGACTGTTCGTCAGAAAAGAACCCGTTGCTTTACCAGTCCTGATAGTCATGGCCAAAACTCGCTCTCTTCCGCCTCTCTTTCTGGTCCCATCGCAGCACCGCAACCGTCCAGCACCGTGGCAGGGCGGCCCCCGCGACCGGGCAGGCCAGGCAGGCGAGGTCCTGTGGCCCGAAGAGAACGGGACGAAAACTTCGAAGATGAAAGACCAGGACGGTCTGATCGTGTGTTGGACACCACGCAAGATGTTCAACACCTCATGACACTGATACATTGACACTGCTTGGAGAACATGGCGGAGCCACTGCAAGTCGATGCACCGGGGCAGGTCAAGAACAGGTTGTAGCTCCAAATCAAAGGCGACAAACAGTGGCGCTTTGTCGCTGAGCAACTCCACACTCAGCATATTCAACCAGCTTCAGCCAAAAAAGACTTGGCAGTCGACCACCAACCCAGCACTTACTTGATTTCCTCCGCTTCAACACACCCTCTTCAGCTTCAGACAGGGCCAGAAACGATGGTTATACTTGCACCATGGTTCAGCAATGGTTCTGGTACTTCAGTGGCGACCAGGTCACCCGGCCATGTTCAAATCCTCCCCCAAAACCAGGTCCTCAGGTCCTCAGTCTCACCTGAAGATCTGCGACGTGAAGATCGGCGACGCCGCTCGGAGCGTCGAGTCATCTGGTCGCCCGTCAGCCATCCAAGCGCCGCGCGCGCCCACGGGTCGTGGGGCCCGTGCTCCGTGGCCGCTGCGTCCCTGGAAGGAGGGACATGAAGAAGAACGAGGCGGACAGGGTTAAAGCACCCCAAGAATGTGGTGTCTTGTCTATATATCTGCCGACCCCAGCCGATGGGGGAGCGCCAAGAATATACATATATATATATATATATGTGGCAGGGACCTTTTGGTAACATTTCGTTGCGGATGAAAAGCACCGGCACATTTCTCACTAGCGCGCACAGGTCTCATTTGCCCATGCCACCACGCACAGGGGAAGGAGAAACCGGACGTCGCGGGTCCTTAGATCGGTTTCTCATTGTTTTTCATTGTTCAATTATTGCACATGTATATTGGGAAGCATGCGTTGCAACTAATGAATCAGCCAAAGCGTCGTCCACTGATCTCTGGCCTGTGTGAAAATTCTCCCAGTAGAACACTCCTGGCTTTGTGCCTTGGATACAAGCGCTGATGGCTGATGGTTCCCGAAGCCTAGAACGGTTGGCATGACGTTCAAAAGCTTGTTACGCTTTTCAAAAGAGTACGGCCGCTTTTGCGTTCAAGCCAGGCTGCGGCTTTCGATCTTGCGCCAGCTCAAGTTGTACGCCTTTTCCTCACAAAGGTACCGATTGAAAAATCTTTTCGATAACCATCAACCGGATTGATTCCCGCGCAGATATGAACATAGTGTTTGGTGAATTCAATTCATGAGTGGCTTCGTGCCAAAACAAATGAGGCTCCCAAAAGCCACGTGATCATACGGTTGAAAGAGTTAAAAGAATGTCTCCGTCATTTTCGCATGCCAATCATCCTTGCGTCTTTGCAACGCGTCGAACCATCCTTTGGAAGGGACAGAGGCCTCCACCATTTCCTCAGCGTGCAACTCTGAAACGCCCAGGGCGCATTGATTGAATTGTTTGTCCATGTCGGGCCGCCAGAAATATGTTGATTTGAGCGTTAAACAAAAGTTCCTGCAACTCCGTAACTTGCCCGCAATTCTGCCAAATCTGAGACCCTGGCGTGCCATCTGGGCTTGAAGCCCCTGCCAGGTGGTGCGGATGTAAATGGTCTACGCAGGTAAACTGTAAAGAAAGAGCCACTCTTGCAAAGCAATACATGTTCTTTTTGGTGGCTAGAATCAGACTCTGCTCCACATGGATTGTGAAACTAACAAGCGCAAAACACAAGCCAGAGCACAAACCTCTGTACGTTTTTGTTGAAGCATCAGCTTTCGTAAGCTCAACAAATCATATGTTTCTATGTTCGCTCGGCACCATAGTTCTAGTTTCTCTTTGGAGCGGCGTCCTACACCACCGGAGTATGGATTTCGTCGCCCGACTCACCTTTCTGCACCCGGAATACAATCCGACGGGTCACGAAAGCATTGTCTCCCCAACGACGCACTGGCCTTGCCACCGTGGACACCATATACATCGACGGGTCCCGTAGCTCCTGGATGGGGCAACCACATACCATGACTTACAAAAAAGAATAAGCATGAATAGCACGTATATTGTTGATGCTTTGACAGTTTGCATGGCTTTTGAAGAGTTTGTTTGCTTTTGTTGTGTTTACTCTTCTTCACACTCCGCAGACCTTCGCAGGACAATGATACTTGGCTAAGATCCTTTATCTAAGCTTACTGTTCTGCTTCGACTCTTCACCTCCACCTCGCCAGATCCCCGATTCGACGAAGCGGGTGTCCTTGGACTTCTCAAGGGCAAACTCCAAGAGCTTTGCCGCATGCTGTGGCGGAAGGCCTGGGACATCGCAAACATCCGATGGTTAAAAACACAAAACAAACAATGCACTTCCAAGTCTGTCAAAAGAAGTCCTTCATCAAAAGGATTCTGATCAAAACCTTTCAACCAGCTCTCTGGAGAACATGTGAAAAAAGAAAAGTCTGATACCTTCTATACATCTCAAATATCATTACATCTGTGTCTTCATAACTCTACGCCGTTCCAGTGGCCTGTCACTGCGACGAGCGCTTCGTTTTGTACCGAAGGACCACCTTTTTGCACCTGGCTCCTCAGTGACGACCACATATCCATCCGACCGGGAAGATCGAAAGCGGACGTTCACAATCCACCGAAACATTGCTTTTGGTTCAAGGGGCGACCATCTGCATGGAAGTCTATCATAGAAATTAAGGGGGGACCATCTGGATGGACGCTGTATTACAACTCACCGACTGCCCTCGACCAAAATCTAATCTCTGAGAATCAAATTGGATTAAAGTTCACAGGGTATGTTTCTTGAAGTGCTTCACTGTCAGTCTCTATGTTTCACTTCAGATCCCCACAGAAGCCGCTCCATGGTTATTGGATCAATGCCTTCCGGGCCTGAGCCACGAAAAGACAGTCGATCCGAGAAACTTTCCCATTCGTTTCCAGGAGACAACTGAAGAAGCCATGCCATGGTATGTGAAAAGTAAGGAACTAAGCAGTAAATTGATTTTAGTGTTTATGTGAGGAAAACACCTCTTGATATGGGTAGTGGCCCTGTCATCGACCGTCTCCCCACTCCTCACCTGAAGGTGCTGCATTTTGCAGACCTTTCGCAGCTCCTGTGCCAAGCTTTCCGCATTCAATCGGATCAAGGAAAACCTAATGCAGCCTATAGGCAAACCGACCTGGCGATGATCTGTGATTGGTAGATCACTTGTCAATGTGTCAACTTGTCAACGGCTAATGCGTTTGTGTCACTCATTCACTAATAGCCGAAGTGTCTCGCATCACGACAATCAAACATGATTCGAAAAAAACGGCGCGGAGCGCTTCGGCGTAATCCGCCTGGAGGAAGCTTCTCAGCGACCTGCAGCCATGAAGATTTCGTAAAGTTCCCTCATGACACATGTCGTGGCGTCGTTGCTGTGCTAACTGTTCTCAGAATGTGCACTGTGTAGTTTGTTCTGTCCTATTTCAATCCGTACCCTTGCGCACAGCTGAACGCTCAGCATGAGAGCCGGGCCTCTTCGGCTCGCGCAACACACTGCTTCTTTGCCGCAGCGCCGCGCTCACCTGTCATGCCGGTGGCGCATCTTTGGGTATGAATATGCCATATAATGTTCCGCTGTACCTTCTTGTCTACAACATATGATGTTTGATCAATATTCTTTCATCCTGGAATGGCCATTCATCGCGAAAAAGCAGATATCTTTCGCGGATCTTTCGCGACCTCATCGCGAAGCATGTTCCTCAAGAGAGGTTGGTTACTTAACATGTTTTGGGTGAGTCAGAGAGTCATGTATATTTATATATAGAGATACGGTGGGCGGAAGAAGAAATCCTGCACCACTTTGATACAGCCGTCATCCAAAGCTGACAGACCAGCAGCCCCACATCCCTATTCCAGGTCGTTGGGGTATGGGGGTGGGGTCAAGTTTGGTAGGCAGAACTTTATCGGCACATTCGTGAAACTTTCGCGGATCTTTCGCGAAAAATCATTAATGATTTCCCCATTGGCTCAAACTGGCTCAGCCAGGTGATTGCACTTTGGCTGTATTTGGCGCCATCTCTGTGGCTAGATTGCTTCAAGCACAAATGCCTCTGACAACTATACACATCTGTGATCTATGACACATAATACAGGAATCCCACAAACATACGCTACACTACACATTG